GAATGGTCGGAATTCCGTACCCTTTGGCGCCCATTTGGTGAAATAAGGTTTCTGTAAGGAGAGAACCGCGCGAATTTCCCGTTTCTCTCTTTCAAATTTGCAATTGGTAGACAACTCCTGTCTGTTTCACAGAACCTCTTTCCCTCAACACAGTTCATGGCGACGCTTTCTTTGTGAATTTCTATGAACTGAACTTCGCTCACGTTCGAGTTTTCGGTGAAAAAAAAGAATTAATTCTGTTTTCAGCTCTGGTTCCGGTGGTGTTCAAATGGCAAACAGTAAGTATGAGTACGTGAAGCTGTTTGAAGTTGATGATGAGGTGATGCCGCCCAATCTGATCGTTGTTCGGGTTGAGGGTCTCGACTTTCCAAGGTTTTCTCTCTTACTAATTCAATTCTAGATATAAATAAATAATAAATAAAAAAAATTGATATCTGATCAAATTACTTCACCATATCATGTGTTTTGATTAGTACTAGGGGATAAACTGCCCTGTAAACATAGTCCAAGTAAAGGGATTTCTGTTTATATGTGTGTGATTAGTGCATTTTGTTGATTGTTCATAATCTTTTTCCCAATTTTGGCAGGTTCTCTGAAGTTCATGGATTTGTGAAGCCAAATGACGAAAAGGCTTTAGAATTGATGAATTGTTGTGCAATGGCCACAATGGAAATGTTTTCAGATGTAGTATTTTCATATGGATTCAATGATGAGTACAGGTATTCTCCTCCCTTTTTAGCTATTTTTTAGCAAGCTTGTTGTTTCTTCATTACATTATATCAGTGATTGATGCATCCTTTGTGTGCCAGTTTTATCTTTAAGAAGACATCCAAGTTCTACCAAAGGCGTGCCAGGTTTTTCCACTGATTTAATATCCTCTGTTTTGATGTTTTTATTGCTGGGCATCATGAACAAGGATTGTTTTTGGCATGATATTACAATAGCTCTTTTTTGGGTCTGAGCCAATACTTGTGATCTTTCTAAGATTTAAGAAGTAGTTTGTGTCCAATTAAGCTTGAGGGATTTGAAATTTGCTAATATATTGATTTTGTTTGTAAGGAGTTGAACGATAGAATGTTTCTTATCATTATAAATTCTATCATAAAAACAGTGTTCCCATGTAGTAGTTTTCTGCTTTCGTTGAAATTAATGTTGATGTGCTTACAAATTTAATTGGCCTTATGCAGCAAATTGTATTCGCTCGTAGTATCTTTCTTTACCTCAGTATATATAACAAAATGGCAAGAAGTCTTTCCTCAGAAGCACTTGATATTCCCACCATCATTTCGTGCACGTGTAGTATGCTGTGCTTCTATGGAAGTTCTTCAAGCATATCTTGCATGGAGACAACAATTCTGTAAGTGGTTGCTTCTTGGTTCGAAAACCGTAATATTCGAACGCCCTTTAAGCTAAAGGCTCTTATTTAAACTTTTCAAACTCACCTTTTTTCAGGTCATGTCAATAACTTGGACAATACATGCTTTTGGAAGCTGGTGGAATGTGGGAAGACAGACAGAGAAGCCCATGATTTTCTGAAGGTACTAATAACTTGTAGTTTTTTGTATTTTGTAAGCTTGTTGATTTTTTAATTTGTATATGCAAACTTTGCAGGTTACAGAGAAGAAAGAAAAACATGAGCTGCTTTTTCAAAAGTTCAATATTAACTATGCAAATCTTGATGCAATCTTTCGTCAAGGATCCTGCATTTTGACAACAAAGGTTATGCTCTTTTAAAAGAATTAGAATGTTGATTGATCATTAACTTGATTCTTGTTTACTTGCATCTTGGTCTTACTGTACACTGAGAGTTCATGGAGACAACAATGAATATTAAACAAAATTATCTTCCTAGCTATATCAAAGTAATTGAGAAAATCACTTAATGTGCGATTGTGTTTTGGTTTTGTTTTCCGAGAGAATCTGCCTCCACTCTCATTGTAACAACCCAAGCCCACCGCTAGTAGATATTGTCCTCTTTGGACTTCCCCTCAAAGTATTAAAGCGCGTCTGTTAGAGAGAGGTTTCTACCCTTATAAGGAATGCTTCGTTCCCCTCTCCAACTAATGTGGAATCTCACAATCCACCCCTCTTGGGGGTTAGCGTCCTCGCTGACACATTACCCAGTAACCTGGCTCTGATACCATTTGTAATAACCCAAGGCCAACGCTAGCAGATATTATCATTTTTGGGTTTTTCCTTCTGGGCATCCTCTCAAGTTTTTAATATGCGTCTACTAGGGAAGGTTTCTACACCCTTATGAGGCAATGCTTCGTTCCCCTCTAGCAGGTTTCTACACCCTTAAGAGGGAATGCTTCGTTTCCCTCTCTCACCGATGTGGAATCTCACACTCATGCTCTATACCTTTTTTTATAGAACTAAGATCATAAATGAGTCACTTAGAATATCCCTGCGCATTTTTTTGTTGTGATATACACACACACGTATATATTAGAATAGGCTGAACAATTTGGACATGTAATTTATATAGTTGCAAATTCTTATTGGACTGTCACTTTATTTATGATTTTGACATTATATATCATATTAAAAGTTTAATTTGACAATTTGCCAACTTGGAAGTACTTCTTCTAAAGTGTTTTTTAGCTAGAGAGTTGCATGGTGGCCTAAGATTCTGTGAAGAAACTTGTCTTCGTCTGATTGTTATGTTACAGAGTTCTCCAAACCATACAATCTAACAAGTTTTCCTTTATTTAGGTTGAAGATATTGTGAAGTACCATGAAGATGGCACTCCTGTTAAGAGATTACGGAGAAAGGCGACCGTAATTCATTCACCAAATATTGCTGGACGAAAATTTTGGAACGAACATTCCATTCTTTTAAAGGAGCTAGGTGCTTTCACAACTGACATTGACAAAATAAATCCAGATTACGTTCGGTCATTCCAAGTTGAGAACAAACTAATTCCATCTACATGGATAGTGATAAGAATAGACGGCTGTCATTTCCACAGGTACGTTCATCACTCTTTATGGTTGATCCATGGCTGAAGTTGAAGACTTTATTCTAGGCTTCTAGTAGAATCATATGATGAAAACCCAAATAGAACTAGAATAATATTGAAATATAAAAGATAAAGTCGTACAATATAATTTCAAGTACTCAAGGTACTTGGAACCTCCCCTCTCGAGTATTCTCCCTCTACTCTAAATCAATTGAACAATGGTGCATGTTAATGATTTTCACTATATGAATAATGATTAACGAGAACATATCATATTGGGCACATGACACACTTTCTTTGAAGAGCTTGTTTATAGGAAATTTAAGTGGATTGGCTACATGGTTGTGGTTTTGGTAGATTTTCCGAAGTTCACGTGTTTGAAAAGCCAAACGATGAGCACGCTTTGAACCTTATGAATTCATGTGCAGTGGCTGTGATGGAGAAACTTCCTGACTTGGTCTTCTCCTATGGCGTTAGTGATGAGTACAGGTATTTTGTCTATTTTGGCTTTTGTTACAAATTTCATTTGCCACATCTGTAGACATATTATATATATTTATGATTTGCAGCTTTGTTCTGAAGAAGGATTCTCAAATTTATGGACGCCGAGCTAGGTTAGTCTTGTTTATATTTCTTCTGGCTTTTTATGCTGCTATTTTATCCATTTGGTAAAATTTTGATGTCTCAGATGGCTGATTATTACAAATATTTTTACCTCATCGATTCATTCTCGTTTACATGAGATGCATTTTGTTACATGATTGTTAATGTTTCACTTGAACAATCATCGTTGCAGTGAAATAGTGTCCACCATTGTATCATTATTTTCTTCCCTTTACGTAATGAAATGGAGCGAATTCTTCCCACATAAAGAGCTGAAGTACCCACCTTCCTTTGATGGACGTGCTGTTTGCTATCCATCACGTGAGATCCTTCAGGACTATCTAGCCTGGAGACAAGTTGATTGTAAGTACTACAAGTTTTGAGGAAGTTCTTTACTTTTCAAGGATATTCGTTCCACGTTATTGTCTAATTCTCAGTGCTATAATGAAAAATTCAATCCGTCTCTATGGAGTTCCTAATTTACTAGATACCAATGAACTGTTCGTCCCTTCGAGTTTACAGGTCACATAAATAATCAGTACAATACATGTTTCTGGGAGCTCGTGAAGTCTGGAAAAAGTAAAAGTGAAGCTCAAGCTTACCTCAAGGTGCTAATTTGGCTATCTAACGCCTATTCTTCCGTTCATGACTTATTTGAAATGACTTTTATAAGTGTTTAAAAACATTCTTTACCCTTAAAAATATATATTTTTTGATCCACTTAGATAGTCAGTTCAACTAAAACCCATAAACTGTAGTGCCCTCTTGGAATGTTATTCAATTGTCTTTGAAATTTTACCTTATAGGGTACTCAAGCACTGGAGAAGGAACGCATGCTTAACTTGCAATTCAATATTTTATATAATGAGTTACCCCTCATGTTTCGTCAAGGTTCTTCTGCATTCTGGGAGAAGGTTTGTTTGTTTTTTTTTCTTTTCCTAACAATTATTTTGTTCGTTTACTCTACATTTAGTTTGTGCATCTTCAGATATTTGCTCTGCATGTGGTTTATATTTATGAGTATATGTTTCCAAGCAAGTCATTTTTTCTGTGCAGGAAAGTGTTACAGCAGCTGTGGACAAAAATCCAGATGCTTCGGAAATTTCTAAGAGAAAAGTTGTTGTTGTGCATTCTAATATAATTGAGACTAGTTTTTGGGAAGAACATCCATGGATACTAAGCTAAGACAAGTCCAGACTTGATTTTTATTTTGACATTTTTGTAAGGATCAGTTAAGTTATCTCCAGTTCATTGTGTTCCCCGGCAATTGATAAAAACACTTTGCTCATCATCCTGTTATTCGATCATTGAGCTTAGGAACTCTAACTGGGATCTGATAAGCACATAATCACTGTCTAATGGAAGCAATCTCAACCTTAAACATTTAAATTAAGCTTAAACTAGACACTGAAAAAGAATTGGGAACACATCAGCCAAATGATTAAATGCAAATTTCTTGACAATATCCATCCAGTTATCACCTGGCATAGTATAGAATAAATCACAAAAAGGGAAAAAAAAGCTGGGGAACACGCATCAGCCAAATGGTGTGGTACCAGTATCAGAGGTGCCTTTTCTTATTAAAGCTAAAGAGATGTATTCCGGTGTTCAAAAACAGCCGAATCAGCTCTGTTGGCAGATTTTTCTCAACCAGAAAACAAATGGGAAAAAGATTTGTAAATCTACAGGAAGTTTCTCACGTCTAACGACTTTGTATCGATCATTGCCTCGTCTTTAAACTCCTCACTGAAAACAAAGAGTGGAAAAGTTGCATAAGTTTCGATAAAGATTCAATAAGAGCCTACAAATATACAGTAATGCCAACCGAGTACAAGCCAGATTATACATTTTGGAGAAATATGTATAATGTCTATCTGGCTGATCAAAGCACATTTTGAAAACAGACATTCATTCGAACTACGAAAAAGAAGGTTTTGCAGTATATAATAATCATCATAAACCACAAACTACGTACCGCTTCTTTTGAGTTTCCATTGCCTCAAGTGCGTCTTTCTTCAGCTCTTCCAATTGTGCCTTGGACATTTTAAGTTCCAACTGCTCCTCGTACTTGGGTAGATCTTCCCTCTTAATTCCAAGCCTGATTTAAAAAAATTAAAACATAATCAAAATACTGTGTATATCCCTACAAATATTGTTCATCTGTCGTGTAGGACGGTTACCAACTATACTGGGTCTTCGTCAGAAATTTAGACTGGTAAAAACTAGTGTCCAAGTCATATTAGAAAAGAAATCTAATGGTGGGTATCTTGCCAAATAGGCATGCAAGCGCAGAATTAATAAGAATGAATATCATTCTCTTCACTAAAACTTCAGGATGAACAACACGTCATATATCCAAAATGGGTGCACGACGGCTTCTATTTTCTGACAAGACATTTTGTTCTTGATGGCAATCTTAGATGTATATATTGTCCATACAAACATAACCGTCTGTTAATAAACCACTCAACTTTTTTGAATGGAGCCAAAATAAACGGAAAATATGAAAAGTTAGAATTTTACTTTTGATTGATTTTGTCGAACTCAGCCATAAGAATAGACATTCCTTTCTTATCATTTCTCAAGAGAGGTTTCTTCAATTCTTTCTCAACCTTTTCAAGAGCATCAAACATCATAGCTTCTGCACCAAGCTCATCACTGAGATGTCTCCTGAAAAAATCCATGGGAATAAGGTCAAGAAACGAAGAGCACAGTAAAACAACGAACTTGTGTACTTGGCAATAGATATCAGATCAATGCCACAGACTTCGAGCACAAGAATGAATGCATGAGCAATAAATACCCCTAAATATAATTCCCTACTGTTGGGAATAAACAAATCCATAACAGAACCAAACAACGGATTTTTTTGGTTAACGAAAACATTTGAGATCAGACTAAAAATTATGGAGGAAAGAAGGCCAAAAAGTCTGAACAAGCTGCGATGAGAATTGAGAGAAAAAATGTGTGTCCATATGCAGTAAACGATCAACCAAGTCAACTAATTCATTCTTTTATCAACTTTATTTAATATCTGATGAGTGCTAGATTGTGGTTAGTAAATTTTAGCATTTATACGACATGTAGATGTATTGAAGATTTGAGAGATATCTTCCCCCCTTTCCGGGGTTTTCATCGGTTTATTGATTGATACTGGTCCAAGTCTCCAAGTCTTGACGATCTTGGAACCCTTGAAAATCAAATATTCATGATACCACAACAATTAACATGCCAAGGAGAGAAATGCAGACCCTATTGGTCAGGTTGACAAGGAATCCATGTTCATAAAACAGGAACATACTTGATCCGGATATCCTTCAGTGTCAGTAAGTATGTTCTAGCATCAGGGATATCTTGGGTTCTTGTCTGAATGGTGTATTTGATTCGCTGAGCTTCTGAGAATAAATCTGCCCTGCAAAGAAGGAAAAAAGAGTTAAAATTGTAACTCACAGAATTCATATGCACATATTGTCGTAATAGCATGGACACATGTGGTGATCCGGCAAAAACACTCACTTCTCTCTTGCCATTTTCATGACCTTTGCGTATTGAGCTACTGCAGCTGGATCATCTGGATCAATTGTGATCTTCTCTTTCCGGAAAACATCAATTGCTGTCTCAAACTTCTTTTTCACTTCCAAAAATATATTCTTCAGCATATCTTTGGCACCCACAAAAAAAAAAAAAAAAAAAAAAAAAAATCAATCAAATCACAGAATATTTAAGATCAATGTGCACATAGAGAAGTTGATGCACCATTCATGGAGCTTAATAGCCTTCATATACACATTTCGGATGCAATTTAACTTATATGACATAACTACAACGGTGTGATAGACATAAACCAAACTTCATAGCCCTCTCTCTCTCTTCCTTTTTCTCACTAAATGAGCATTTTTTGACTCACCATCTCCCTTCAGAGCCGGTCGGGCAGCCTCTTTGGCAAAGTGACGAACAGGAATAGCATGCCCCTGGTGTAAAATACTTTGACTGCCAAGGACCTGTAACAACGAAGGGGCACAAAATAAAACCCACGTCAAGCAGATGATTCGATGATCACCATTTCCAAACAATGAGTCTAAAAGTTTTAATCTTTAGCTAAGTCCCGACAACGTTAAAAAAAAAATTCACAGCAACCTACATACTTCACATCATCCAAAGAAACCCTAAAATCCCAGATCCTAAATAAACGGTTAAAAAATCCTTAACCTTCAGGGAATATAAAATTACAAAAGCCAAGAATTAAAAATCAAATTAGGGGAGGGGAAAACTGATAAAAACTTCACCATTTTCAGGATCCACAGGAGTAGAAAACGGAAGAACGAAAATCAAAACCCCAGTATGAAATGATATTCAAATCGCTCACATATATCAATCCTTAAAAGTTGATTCGAACATGAACAATGAGGGAGAATGAAAAGTTGGGTAAAGTGAGCCGATCCATGGCGGAAAAGGACAAACCTGCTTGGATTTGGACAAGAGACGAGAAGAGAAAGCCATGGTGGGAGCTCAGATAGCGCCTTGCTTCAGATGCTTCGATGAGTCGTTGGAGGATTGGAAGTCGGATATATGAAGAGGGAGCCCTCGTTTGAGGAGGAGTGAAGCTCTGCTAGAAATGGTTCCGTGGAGCCTGCTCCTCATTAGTCGCTCTACTTCGAATCACCACCGTTGGATACGTTTACTTTAATATTCTAAATGGATGGATATGATCTAATGAAAACCAGTACTTAATCAACTTCTTTTTCTTCCATTCTTTCTTTTGTTGAATTATACAAAATGCCCTTAATTTTAGAGTATTTCCATTTCTTTTAGTGGGTATAAAAAAAAAAATTCACTTTTTAATTTTTTTTTTCAAAAACTAAAATCTAAATATTAACCAATATTATATATAGATAAATAGTATCGGGTATATTTTCCAGTTCAATTTTTTTGCATAGTGTAAATTTAACTTTTTTTTTGAAAGAATATAAAGTTCGAGGAAAAAGATGAAACCTTTAAAAGTCCAAAGACATAATTGGATACATCCCGAGCAGCAGTCATACCGAGGCGTGATTGCAAGACGCTAGCAGAATGAGCACATAGTGTTTTCTGGATTGTGCGAGTAAGAGACGGGTGGGAGAGGCTCTCGCCTTTCATAACTTGACCTATTTTTATTAAATACAAGAGTTCTATACTACTTTATCCAACAAAAACAGAATCTGTAAGAGATAGTAGGCAGGAAGAGCTAATTTTTCCATAAGGGCTGAAGCAGAAACATCACGAACAAAAGACTTGTAATAGAAGGTATGTTATTAGGATCGATGGCCTACCAAACTAAGAGTTTATACAACGTTCTAAGTTTTCTTTAATATGAAACTATCAACTTTGTGTTGAATCATTCATATATATATATATATACAAATGATGATCCTACATTTCTGCAGCAAATGATTTTCCACAGCCACAAGTTTGTGTAGCGTTTGGGTTCTTGAAGGAGAAGCCCCCACCAATAAGTGCGTCGCTGTAGTCCAATTGCATTCCAAACAAGAAAAGTAGGCTCTTGGGATCACATACTACAAAACAAGCAGAGAGGGAAGTTTGTATCAAAAGCTCAAGCTATAAAGCAAGTGATATAAGTGAACTCATATTCGTCGTCGAGTCTACGACTTAAGAGGGCACAGTCGAAAATAAAGTAGATAAAATGATACCTTCATAGTTCACTGAAAGATGCTTAGGTTCCTTTATCAATAGAGTAGGAGAGCATTTGTCAAGGAATCGAAACAATATACAAGCTCATGTTGAAATAGTATAGATTAAAGAAAAGTATATTTGACAAAAGTTGCAGAACCTGCTCATCAGTCAGCATAAAAAATTATGATATCAATTCATTCAAGTCATCGAGTGTCCAAGAGGAGATAGACTATGAACTATTGAGTAAAATTATTAGTCCAAGCTCACTGCAAGTAAACATTGTCCGCTTTGGCCCGTTACGTATCAACGTCAGTTTCACGTTTTTAACGTCTATTAGGGAGAGGTTTCCACGCTCTTATAAGAAATGTTTCATTCTCCTCTCTAACCGATGTGGGATTTCTCAATCCAAAACAAACAATATCTGCTAGCGGTGGGCTTGAGTTACTACAAATGGTATCAAAGGCAGACACTGAGTGGTGTACCAACGAGGATGCTGGGTGAGATCCCACAACGATTGGAGAGGAGAACAAAACATTACTTATAAGAGTGTGGAAATATCTGCCTAATAGTCGCATGTTAAAACAGTGAGGCAAACAATGATACGTGACGAGCCAAAGCGGACAATATTTGCTAGCGGTGGGCTTGGGCGGTTACATTGAGTCCCTCACATTTATGGCATATGGCTCACAAAATGGCCGTCTATATCCGAATATATAAAAGTGTAAGCTTCTTTCATCCTAAGAAGAATTGAAAACTTTCCCTCTACCATTCCATGGGAAAGAAAGTATCGATCCAAAAACGTGCAAAACTCAACTTAGATCCACCATGTTCTTTTGAAGGCATGGAGCTAAGAGTATATATATATAAAGAAATGGGTCATCTACAAAGATAATGAATTCAAAAAGGATAAATCTAAGAACCCCACTAGAAATTCAGAGCGAAAAACGAAAAGCTATAACTCTTACCAATCACAAACTCATTATATTCTATAATTGAGTCATCAGGTCTAGCATTTTCCCTGTTCTCAAACTCCATCGTGTAGGACATACCAGAGCATCCACCCTGTCTGACACCAATTCTCAAGCACAAATCTTCATTACGTTCAGATCTCATTTTATTCAAGTGTTTCAATGCATTATCGGTTAATGAGATAGCCGGTGCTATACCCTCGGATGCTGGCGCAGCTGTTTAATCACAATTTACATGTTCAACAACATAAGATGATAATGCAAAACTGTGATCATAACGCATAGTTCATATGCAGAAACTGCAAGACTCAGTAGATTTTATCTTTGATCTCTAGTAAGCGGCAAAGGGAAAGTGCCATTCACAAAACCATATTGCATGTCATGTTTAGGAGTGATTTTGAAATTGGTTGAAATCACTTTTTTTCACACTCAAAATCACTCCAAAACATACTTTTAATCATTCAAATAGTATGAAAATTGCATTTAAAAGTATAAAAGCAAACATTCAATTGATTTAAGACATATTTCGGAGTGGTTTCAACATGAAAAAGAGCTGTTTAATCATTTCAAATCCATTCTGTATGCTCTAAAAAGAATAAAAGATCAATGCTATCAAGAATTAATAAACATTTTTCCCCCACATGAAGATCAATCCATCCTAATCATTTAGGCATTGATACAAAACAAATATGCACACTCATGGTTTGTCTATCACTAACTGGATCTCGAATTAGAACTCACAAACAAATCATCCGTTCCAAGTAGCAGGGAAATTTATTTTCCGTGTAACTCAATAAGAAAATCCCCAAAATTCTGTTTCTTAATTTCAATATAAAACTTCCATGAGCTAACAATTTCGATCCAAAGCAACCAGAAATTGAATCCTACGTTTAATTAATTAAAAGAATAACTCGAATCCTGACGTTCGTCCCAAGTTCATAGTTCCAATCCAAAAGAAACAGATTCCTGATTAATTTTCCCCCAAACAGTACTACGATGAACTACGTTGATACAGTCAAATATAATACCCAAAAATCAAGGAGGAAAGCAGAGGGAAAATAAAATAAAATAGAGGCGTACCTGGGACTGAAACCGATCGAATCGATAAGGTTTTTCTCCGGCTGAATTTCGTAGGTGAATATCGAAAGGAAATTGAACTTTGAGGTGCAGAGCTTTTAGGAAGGGCTCGCAGGTGAAGAACAGGGGGGCATTTCATGGTAATCGAAGAGAACGCCATCGAAGAAAACCGGTCGCGATTAGTCCGGCGAACGGTTTATATGCGAACCGCCACCTTTTACTAGTCGGAAATGTTTGCGAATCGTCATCGTGCGGTCAAGATATATTATTTTCTTTAAGATCGAGTGGTTCAGGTATTTTTCTCCAAGACATGTTTTTTATGAGGCGTACAATTTTTTTAATTTTTTCTGTTTTTTTTACTAAAATTTATGTTCGATAGCATTTATTTTTTGAATTTATATTTTTTGTCCCACGATTTTAAGTAAATATTTGAATTATTAGTAGCAATTTTTTTTTTTTTTTTTTGGTGGACGGATTGACGAACCGACCCAATTTTATTTTTAATTTTTCAAAAATTCAACTCAACCCAAAATTAAAAAAAAAAAATCTAACTTAATTTGGGTGGGTCCTACTTTCGCATCATTTGAACACCACTAAACATTTATCCAAACTTACTCGACCATATGCCTAACTCTTTGAAAATATATCCTTAAAAGGTGTGAACACTAATGATTGATCAAGACATTATAAAGGAAAATTGTGATACACCTGTCCACTTTGTTCAAGACCAAATCGTTTTTGTAGTCTACTATTCCAATTAACTTTTTATTATTTAGATTCGTCAATTTGAATATAGTTCAATAGATGAGACATCATTACAATCTATAAGATTGTTGATAGAATATTTACCGTGTGTACAATTGCTGATCCCGATTAAAATCTCACACTAATAATTATATCAATTTAAACTTTAATCACATAATATCTTAATCTTTAAAAATTATATGGGTAAAATATTAGATTATATTTTTGTTTATAAAATATCATCTATTCTAATTTACTCATTTTTACCACTTTTTATTTATTTTTAATTATTTGTTACAAATTTACTCAATTTTTTTTAAATTTATATCTATTTAATTTATCTTAGAAATTTAATTTATAAACTTATTTTATAAAAACTCATAGATTTATTGGTAAATATTTTTAAATATATATATTTGTAATTTAACTTTATTTTTAAATCTCTTTCCATATTTTATCTAGAGAAAAAAGAAAGTACAGGTGGAAGAGCGAGACAGCATGTGGACACACTATGAAATACAAGTGACATAACATGATGACATCACTACCTCTGACGTAACGACACGTGTCAATACAGCAGAACTTTCCTAGCTGGCAGCTTGAATAGGCAGGAAGGCGAGTAGGAAAGAGCCAACATTGATTAACCAAGGAAAAAAAAAATTTTTTATTATATTTTTAAAAAACTTTATATAATGTTTACTTAAAGCTCTAAAAATAAAATAAAATAAATAAATCAACAAGCGACTCTCTTGCACTTGCTCCCTCATTTTTCTCCTCTTCCAAGCATTTACTTTCATGGCTATGAATCCCCTTCAAAACCCTAGTTTCTTCCTCGACTACCACCAGTTTCAAGACTCGTCCTTCTCGTTCATGGATCTTTTCGATGTCTCAAGTTACCCACTACCTAATTTTGGCCTTGAAGCCGAGACCATGGCGTCGTTGTCGACGGAGGCAAGAACGGAAGCAGAGAGGGGATCCATGAAAGCAACGTCCATAGACAATAATAGCATGCAAGTGGAGAAAAGAAAAAAGGAGAGAGGAGTTGGGTGCAATAATAGGGTTGCATTTAGAACAAAGTCGGTTTTGGAAATCTTAGATGATGGCTTCAAATGGAGAAAGTATGGCAAAAAATCTGTCAAGAACACCTCTCATCTAAGGTAATTATTCATATGTTAATTATCTCTTTCGAATCAAATCTAACACATATCAGTTAGTATAAATGATTTTAGTTATGAATTGTGTAATAATGAACGTATCTTCTAAATTTAAAATCTCGGTACCCTAATTTGATAGGAATTACTATAAATGCTTGAATGGAGGGTGTGGAGTGAAGAAGAGAGTAGAAAGAGACAGAGATGATTCAAGCTATGTTATAACAACATACGAAGGGATTCACAACCATGCAAGCCCTTTTTTTGATATGGTGTAACGATCTGATATTAGTTCATCCTAGACATCGTCCCATTTGCCTTTCTTCATCTCCTTCCTATCCCTATGCTTTCAACTTCACTTTTTCCTTGTTGGGGAGAAGACTTTTATATATATATATATATATATATATATATATATATATATATATATATAATTAATTAGAACAATCTCTCTATTTGTATGATTTTATAGCATATTATTGGTTTAAAATATCATGATTAAAATTCTATGACTTCACAATGAATTATATTGAAGTCTCAAATTGAAATGTCTTTCTTAAGACTATACCACACGTCTTTTAAAGTCACTATGTTCACATCCATCGACTCAACATCAAAACAAACTCGCACTTCATGTAATTGGGTTTGAGCGGTTTGCAACAAAATTATGGTTTTGGAGTTGTCGATATTATATTATACAGAGATGATAATTAATTAAAAAAAAAGGTCCGAAAAGAGTAAGGAATTGTTAGTAGAAAGAATACTCAAAAGATAAATAAATAAATAGTAATAATAACAAACTTTACTGTTAGTAAATAATAAATAGTCTTTAATTTACTCCAAATTTGTAGTAATTTACTAAATACTATTTCATATATGTTTTTATCTTCAACCAATAATAACATTTATTAATGGTAAAACACTAAAAACAAAAAGCTTCCTATAAAATACAAAACTAAAACTTTATAGATAATAAATATTAAATTAAAAAGAAAATCCCCAATGAAAAATTTTAATTTTTATTATGAGATAAATATTAAATTTATAATTTTTATTAGATTGTTTGTTAAAAACATAAAGATTAACGAATCCTCAAAAGAAAAAAAAAAACAACATAAACACGAAACATTAAAAAAAAATCAAGAGTTGGTGGGCGATGACGTGGGAGAGACAGCTAAAAGGAAAAATATGGTTGGTCAAAAACAGGAATAATCGTTGACTTCAACGAGTCCAATTAGGCGTACCAATTAAATATTTTTCTCTTAATTAATTTCAATTAGCAGCTTGTCGTCTCTGTCACAGATTGGTAAACTACTGTTTTATCAATAAAAAATTTGTAATGAGCAAATTATGATCCCGTGCCGCCTCACGTTTCCTTACAGTTTAATCTTCCTCAATGATTATACAATTTCACTATTCAACTCGTTTAAAATCAACCTATTGAGCTGATTTTTCTGTCCGGAAAAGAAGGGGCAAAGAAATTTCATGGGGTTTTCATAACTTTGAATAATATTTTCGATTTCGTTGATTTCTCTATCTGGGTATTTATTTTTTCAAATCCGTAAGAGAAATCCGAGCTTCGAAAATGGTGGGTGCCCGCTTTGGTCCGTGGATTTTGATTTTAAACCATCATGGAAGAAGGTTTGGTAATGGAAATCGCGAGAGATTGGACAAGAAGGGGCAGCCGGCGTGTATAATAGTCGATGGCGGCGGTACACGGTGGCTCGACGGTGGTGATGTAGGGTCTGCCGAACTGAGACGCCATTTGGTTGCCATCCATGTTTGTGAAGATTCAGGTATGAGTGACCATGATGAAGCTTGTGAATGAATATCAATACTGGCTGTTCTGATTTTCTGATATCTATTATGTTCTTCAGAATATGATCCAAAGTTCAGAAAAGGGTTTCCTGTGATGAAATCAGTGAGTTATTATAAGCTGTTTGTTTGTTTGTTTATTGGAAACGCAGTAGAATCATTTGGTGTTTTTTTTATTAGTTGATTGATTGATTGATTGAGTGCATGCGTTCCAGAATGAACTTGTGGGTTCAGATTCAGGGGAAACTATAGCTAAGAGGCTAGCCAAGCAGAGATCCATGGCTGTGGTGCTAGAATTTGACCCGACAGGTCCACTCGGGTAGGTTGAGCTAACTTTACCAGGTGCATCAAGATGGTTTGGAATTTGGCTAACTCTTTGGAAATTATCATCCAGGAATTGGGTTTCACTTGCCAAATGGTTTGCCAATCAGCTACCTGCCACTAGCATTGTGCTTGCTGTTCATAAGGGGAAGACCATATTTAAAGGACACTCAACAGCTGATCAGTTTAGAGGTTTGTCGTGGAAGCTTGTCTACTTGGAAACTGCTTAAATGTTCGCTGATGTTCGTAAATTTTCAGGTTTTCAGCTACAGTTGAGGCCTGAGTTCTATTTCAACGAGGTTGTTTATGCAAAGGAAGCAAAGGGAGATAGTGATGAGCTCCTTGCAGTTGTTGCTTCCGATGATCGGGACGAAGAAACCGACTCGAGAAGTGGCAATGTGAACGGTCAGAATACGAAAGCTCTTCTGAATTCGATATCCGTTGTTCGAAGACAGCTTCCTGAATCAAATCTTGGTTGGCCTCTACGACGGAGAAGTTGTCAAGGAGGTCATGGGGTTATAAGAAAAAGAGCTAGAAATGTTTCTGTGGTTCAATGGGTTATGAGCCTGCCTAATAGATCAGGTGCTGCAGCGTTACCAAAAGACCAGAATGAATGGATGGAAGAAACCAGTCCAATGGTGCTTCAGAACGTTGGAGACGATGGTAATGAAGTCGAACACAACGAAAAACTGTCCCTTTCAGTCTCTTTATTTGTGAATGAACTTCAACAAGAGACACCTGGTTGGCCCCTTAGACCTGTAGCTCTTTCGGAACGATCAGATTCATCGTCTGAGACAAGCATGTCTAACCAAACAACTGATACAATCGACACAAATTTGGAGTCCCAGGTTGGTTATGTATCCAAGCAGCTGAAGCTTCCCATCAAGACGAATCGATCGGGTTGCAAGTGCTTCAGCTATGCCGAGCTAAAAACGGCGACTTCCAATTTCGCTGCAGGTTGGTCAGTTTGATCATATAGGCATATATTTCCTGTGATACTTAAGTTCTGTTCCTGAACATTGTATTTAATAATGAAACAGAAAATCTCATAGGAGAGGGAGGATATAGCAGCGTATACAAAGGATGTCTTCTCAATGGCACGTCTGTTGTGGTAAAAGTTCTGAAGTCGAACAACGACGCTCGGGACAACTTTTTGATGGAATTAGACATCGTTTCCTCGATCAAACACGAACACATCGCACCTCTTATCGGTATATGCATGGAAAACGAGCATCTTATTTCAGTATATGACTACTTCCCTGAAGGGAGTTTGGACGAAAATTTGCACGGTGAGTTTCGACGCCTGGATTCTGTTTTTCGCCGTCTTTGAGATTGCTTCGAACTTATTATAATTGTGTGGATGGTTGTGTAAGGCAGGCCAAAAGGGAAGAGGTAAATTTCAATGGGAAATGAGATTCAAAGTAGCTATTGCTGTTGCTGAGGCACTAAACTACCTTCACAATGAGTGTTCTTCGCCTGTTATTCACAGAGATATTAAATCTTCCAATATTCTTGTTTCTGAGAAGCTCCAACCCCAGGTTCATACCAAGTTTATGCATCATCTTACTGGCCATTACAATGGCATTATATTTCCTAGAAGTTAATGTTGTTGTGTTCGTTGCAGCTATCCGATTTCGGGCTTGCTATGAGGGGACCAACGGATTCGTCGTATGTAGTGAACACTGATGTGGTAGGGACGTTCGGATATATTGCTCCAGAATATCTCATGCATGGAAAGGTCAGTGACAAAATCGATGTTTATGCCTTCGGGGTCGTTCTTCTCGAACTTCTGTCAGGTAGGCGTCCCATTGATCGTTTTGGTGTTGGTGAAGGGCAAGGAAGCTTAGTCCTATGGGTAAGAACTAGGTCTTTTTTTGGGTTGACAAACATTTTCTGCGCCTGAACTCATAAAAATGCTACTCACAGGCGAAGGAAGTGTTGAACAGTGAGGATCCAAGGGTATTAATGGATCCAGAGCTGGATATAGAGTTCACTGATGATGAGGTTCAAAGAGTGGTTATGGCAGCTAAGCTTTGCATTGATCTATCAGCTCGGTTACGTCCGAATGTGAGCGAGGTACGAAAATCATCATCTTTATTGTTCAGATTCTGAAAGTTCATATATGTTCTTATCTTGCTTGCTGCTTTTCAATTTGTTTTCATTTGCAAGAACTCATTGGCTTTGCTTTCAGAACTTTGGTGTTTTTTAGGAAGGTTTTTTTCTAGTTATATAAGAGAATTTGTTGTATTAGCCCCAAGCCTAGCATTAGCGGATATTGTCCTATTTTGACTTTTTTTTTCAGGCTTTTCCTCAACGTTAGCGAATATTGTTCTCTTTGGACTTTCCTTTCCAGGCTTTCCCTCAACTTTAGCAGATATTGTCCTATTTGAACTTTCCTTTCCAGGCTTTATCCCTCACCGTTAGCGGATATTGTCATTTTTTAACTTTCTTTTCCAAGCTTTCCCTCAACGTTAGTAGATATTATTTGCTTTGTACTTTCCCTTTGAACTTTTCCTCCCGACTTCCCTTAAAGGTTAGGAGATATTGTTCTTTTTGAACTTTCCCTTCCGACTTCCCTCAAAGTTAGGAGATATCGTCCTTTGACTTTTCATCACGCTTCCCTCTTTAGACTTTTCTTTTCGAGCTTCCCCTCTTTAGACTTTTCTTTTCGAGCTTCCCCTCTTTAGACTTTTCTTTTTGGGCTTCCCCTCTTTAGACTTTTAAAACGGCAGTCCGTTAGGGATAGGTTTCCATACTCTTAAAAGCAATACTTCATTCCCCTCTAGGATCTTACAATCCACCTCAATCCACCTCCCTTGGGGCCAACGTCCTTGGCACACCACCCGGTGTCTAGCTCTGATACATTTGTAACAGCTCAGCCCAAGTTCTTTGTCAGTAGATATTATCCATTTTGGCAGTAGCGTCATCAATCTCACAATTTTATTTGGCAAAATGTATCTAAAAAGTAAATGTATATAAATGTTTGTGTTAAAATTAATAAATCGTAAATCATGGTTGATTTTTTTCTTCATTCTTGTAATTATCTATCAACATTTCCTATATATATATATAAACATGTACATATATATTGCATGAAAATTATTATCAAATTGAATAATAATTTAACATTAGCATTTCTGTATATAAAAAAAACAAACAGAAAGTTATAGATTAAATAGTTAAGATAATGTAAAATATTAATTCTAAATGAATTAGTTAAAATTTAATAAATCTAAACAATATATTTATATTTATTAATTCAGATATTGAAGGTATTAAAAGGGGAGGCACGTGTTGATGATGGCTCATCGAAGGAGCTAAACCATCATGATGCTGATGATATCTTCCTGAAGTTTATGACCAAACCGAGCCTAAGTTTTGCACTCCGTGACATAGACTACGACGGTACATCATCGACTAATGCTCAAACGACGACCTCAAATATCATCCCGCGTCGTCGTCAGAAGTTAAAAGAATATCTAAAAGAACCTCACGAAGTTTAGGTACCATTGTGAAAATACCTGGAATTTGCCAAATAAAATGTCTTGATTTTTTTTTAATTGGTAAAGAACGATATTTGAGTAATCAAATAAATTTTTTTTGTTTAATCTTAATCTAGAACCAATTTTTAGGGTTCTTGAATCACGATCTCCGTCTTAAACCTAAAAGAAACTGTAAAAGGAAAATAATCGAATCATAATATATCAGCTATTTCCATCTCAAATCTAAAAGAAACTCCTAAAGAATCAAAAGAATCAGAATTGAAAAGAAAAAAAGAGGAAGAAACTCACGAAGACGCAGAGGAAGACGGACAGATCTCTTCAAAAATTGGTAATCTCCTAAAATTCTTCGAAGAATAAAGAACACGATCGATTTTCGAATCGATTTCGTCGACTTTATCAGCCAATGACTTGCTCGAAGAAGAAATTTGCACTATATGATCCATCAATGGCGACCACATCGTGAACTCGTTACCTGTTTCACCAGGATTAACGACGATCGGAATTCTTTTTTGAGAATTGATCAGCGTGTCGTCGCTGTTGTTCTCCATACCGGCGTTTCTGGTGGTCGGATCCTCGTTCTGACGGTTTTAGCAACCGAATCGGCGGCGGCGCGGCGGCGGCGGCGGAGGCGGGCAATGGTGCCGGTTTTTGTATTTTAAGTTAGGAAACAAATTGTTTACCAAAAATTAAGAGAGTTGAGATCGTGAAATTGCCATTTTTATCACTCTCTTTATTTATTATTATTATTATTTATTTATTTTGGCCAATCAAATTCGTTGAAATCGAGGTAAGTCAGGATCCTGTTTTGGCGGTAAATATTGTTGTTTTGACAATTGTTTGTTTATATATATATATATATATTTAAAAATTGTTATTTAAGGTTAATAAATTGAATTTTTTTTAAATTAATGGATTTTCTTCTTCTATCTCTTGTGTCACATTTTCAGAAATAAAAAAAAATAAAAAAAATTGAAAATCGAAGGGAGAAAGATATGAAATTAAAACTCATCGTCACAAAACTGGAATTTTATATTTAAAAATTGATTTTAAAAAAAATAAAAAATAAAAAATGAATAAAATGGAGGGAAACCCTAAACCCTGTCATCATCTTCTTCCCGTCATTTCCTACTCTCTTTCAGCAGCTCAGCGTCCTCGCCGTGGCCTCTCTCCGGTTCTGTGCCGCCGTTGCCGTATTTTTCCGCTCATTCCACCGGAACCTCCCTCTCTTAGAGGATTTGGGCTGACTTTCTACTCTTGCTGTTTCCGGTATTCTCTCAATCTTCATCCTTTTCTTTCTCCTCACTTTGGACTTGTTTAACGAAATAATGGAGGATGGGATTTTATTGATTTATTGATTTCAAAATACATTAGACGAATAGAATTGAAAAACAAAAGTCTTCTTTCGATTTCTTGCATAAGTCTGATCATCTGTTTCTCTTTAATCGCTGCTGAACTTGGCTTGTTTTTGCGACCAAGAACTCTCCAGCATCTCTCTTCTTCTTTATTTATCAGCGAATCAGTCGGATAATTTATATATAGTATAGGTAGATTGTGTGTATATGTTAATTGGTTTTTTCTTTCTTGTTTTGTTCCCATTTCCCGGTCTTGTTTCTGAATTTGGCTCTTTCTTGCATGCGAAATGTCAAGTTTTCTCGTATGGGTTGTTGATTGATTACTAAATGGCTGGACTTGTTCGAGCAGGTTAATCTACTAGCAGACGAGTGTTCTTGTTTAAATTGTTGTTTGGTTGCTAAAGGACTAATACTCGTATGTTACAGGTAACAGCAAGAATGGCGTTCTCGTTTCTCTTTATATATAACTTACTGTCCCCGGGTTTTTCTGTCTTAAATTTGATCTGAGAACTATGAGAACTATCAATTTTTCAGTACTCTGCGCGAAGAAGTATGCCCCTTGTTGTCTTGGCAAATCTTTCTCATGGGAAGAGATCCTTGTAATTTTGTTCCTTGAATTCGTTAACCAACTCCCGACCAGAACTTTTTAAGGTTGTAGATGAGTTTAGTCAGAATATTGGTAGGATTATCCTATATTATTGTAACGGCACAAGCCCACCGCTAGCATATATTATTGATTGACCAAGTCTCTGTTCACCCTATTTTGTTCTGTTGGTGCAGGATTCAAGGGAGAAGAGAGCTGATGGTGGAAGTATGGTGGTCGATATTGGGGGCAGCTATTCCAGCAGTAGTTGCAGGACAAGCATACAGAATGAGGAGGAGGCATTCTGAGGAGCAGAAAATAAAGACAGCTAGGGGAAGGGAGAAGAATCCAGAAGACATTTTTGTCTGTGAGAGGGTCTGCACATCAAAAAGAATGTTGAAAAAGGTAGGCTCATTCTCGAAAGACCCAATTCCCGATACTTGCATGACTGTATGTGGATTATCTGAACTCGACGCCTGCACGGATGCATGTGCTCGCACTGTCTGTGTGAACCAGCATCAAGTACCAAACTGGAACGACATTTGTCTTAGGAGATGCCAGAGTGAATGTCTTAAGCTTTCTGCTTCACATTCATCTTAGTGAATCTGGCATGATGTGTGTAAATAATGTGGTCTTTCCATGCATACCCTGTATCACATTTTGAGTTGTGAAACATTGACCTAGAGAACTTTTGGCTTTCTGGAAGATGTTATGAAATGTTTTTCTCAATTTACCCAAGTTCCTCTTGTTATAATACAGTGTTGCTTCTTTAATAGTTCAAATTGCTTGTGTCTGGTTCACAATTTATTGACTTTTCCTCTGAACCACTGCTTTCTTGCATTCATTATTGGATTTGTTTCATTTATTGACTTCCATTTCTTCAAACGAAGATAGGATCAGATATATTAATAGATACTCTGCTGAACATTCCTCAAAGATTTCGTTGAATAAATAGAAAAGCAAATGGACTTCATCCATTCATGCTGAACGGAAGTGACTAGAATAAGGCACAAAATGATCCTTATCTGTCACAAGAAGCCTATTTATCATATCGTTTTCTGGTTAAGATCTCTATCACAATCTAAATCATATAGGTTCGATGTAAATGAATCGATGCGAATTTTTCATCTGGTGGAAAAAAAAGGGACAGATAGAAAGTTGTTGAAAAGTGGAAGATCTCCTTCGACAGAGAAGGATGATCAAAGCTCATCATGAGAATGTTTGTCCTTGTCCTTGTCCTTCTCCTTGTCCTTGTCAACCAGGTTCTCTTTCACCTTGTCCACTGCTTCCTCCATCACTTTTGCTGCAGATTTAGCAGACTCGGAAACTGCATCTTTGCTTGCTCCAAAGCTCTTCTCCACTGCTTCTTTCACTTCATCAACCACACCCTTTGCTTCATCACTACTCCTAAAACTGAAACACACAATCAGATGTTTTCACATAGAAACAACCCATCAAAAACAGGCAAGATCAAAATGAACATGTTAGGAATGAAGGGAAGAAAGTTACTCTAAATTAGGAGGGAAAAACTGCAACTGCATTTGGTGAATGAGACATTTGACCTTGTCCCATGGAGAGGGATGGGATTTCTTCAAAATAGCGACAGTTTCTTGAATGAAGTTCCCAAAAGAGGGCCTCTCGGGAGCCTTATTGGGTTCTGCAAAGCATGAAGCAACGTGAAGCATCAAAACGAAGAACAGAAGAAGCAATCTGCTTCGAGTTTTTGGGTTGAAGATTTCCATGGCGTTTTCAAAAAAGGCTTCTCATTCAAACACAGACTGCCATTTGTATTCTATTTCTGACATTCAATTCTGCAGACAGTTTCGTTTACTCCCTTCACTTTAGCCTTTCATTTCTTCCTTAAATTTAGCCTTACTTTTAACCATTCAAATCTCTCCTTTGTGGTTTCAAATTTAACCAAACCAATTTTCAACCATTCAAATTTAACCAAAAAAAACTTTTTTTCCTCCTAATTATAAATATTAATGTGAGAATTTTTTAAGTTTTTTTAAAGAAGGTTTTAAAAAAATTAATCAAACTTTTGAAAAGATATTTTTTTAAACCCTTCAAAAATATTTTTAAAATAATATAATAACGTTTTCATTTAAAAATAACAATGTTTTTTTTAAAAAATTTTAAAAAGTTTTTAAGAGTTATTAACTATACAACTTCAAAATTATATTTTATTAATTTAGTCTTGTATTTATTTTCCTAATAAAATGTTTATTCATGTTCTAAAATTTATTTTATATGTACGGACTAATTGGGCATTAGGGCCCAAAAAAATAAAAACAAAATTAAATTTTTTTTTTTTTTTTTTACTGGATTTAGATTTTGAAAATTCACTTAATTATTATTAATTTCGGAAATCAAATGTTTCTCAAAAAACAATTTTCAGACTAAGCAGTTAAAAATAAATAGAAATATTAAAAAAATAAAAGAGTTAAATGATTATTAAATGGGTTTTATAATTTAATTTAGATTTTAAAAACATCTTTACAGATTAGAAAATATAAATATTTTTCAATTTTTTCTTAAAAAAATTACAAATTAGGTTAACTTCTTCCAACCATGGGTTAAAATTATAATTTTTTCTTGTTACACAAACCCTCCCAAACAAACTTTCTAACTCTTATATGGGTGATATATTAACAGCAGAATAAATGTAAAATAATTTCTTTATTTTTTTTTTTAATGAGAAGTTATTAGAAAGACACTCTTTAGACTCAATTCATTTATTTATTTAAAGGGTCGTACATATATTAGTTTATAGAATATTTATTTATTACAATTTTAATATACATTTTAAAAATTGTATAGAGATTTGGGTGAATAATTAGTTATTAGGAGTAAGTTTAATATTAAATATGTATTCAATTGAAAATACGAAATGTATCCAACTCATTTACTACCTACTAAAAATAGGGTTTGCAGCTTCATTTCAATTTTTTTAATCTTTCCTAACATCATGTAAATTAGGAAAATGTTATTTTCACGTTTACCATAAATGCGCAACAAATATTGATAAAATGTCGATATCTTAATTATAAAAATAATAAATTTAAATTAATGAGTAACCTTTTTATATAGGGACCATTTCGAGTTTGAATGGAAACAATACCACAAATTCAATTTTTTTTTCGATAAAAAAGTAGAATATTTTTTACGAATAGATTTTAACAAAGAGTATTTTAAATAAAAAAGAATTATACTATTGTAAAATATTTTAAATAATATATATATATATATATATATATATATATATATATATATATATATATATATATATATATATATATATATATATATATATATATATATATATTTTTTTTTTTTTGTCATAATAATAACTTTTTAATTTATATTTGAGTGGTTGTATCTTTTGAACCTATATAGTTTGGAGGAAAATAAATTATGGGTAGCATGCATTATTAAGTACGGCTATTTATTATATTTGAATGATCTCTGGTAACCTGTCACTCATCAGGTAATGTATGGCTTATTAATGATAACATTTTGATTTTTTTTTTAATTATTTTTTTTAGGATAATGATAATATTTTCATTTTTCAATAATATTTTAAATTGAGGATAATGATAATATTTCCCTTTTTCAATCTAATATTTTAAATTTCTCGATTTTATTTTTAAATGTTTTAACGATTAATTATTAAAATTGTAAAATAATTTTTTATGAGATTTTTTTCTTTTCTTATAATTATAACTTTTTATTATATAGGAAATAAGATTTAATAGTTTTTAGTTATTATTATTATTTTTGTAAACAGTAATTTTTATGAGGCGCAATTTTTTAAGTCAATTTGGAAAAAAAGGAAATATTTACATTTGATAATTGAAGTTAATTCTGAATCATGACAGATAGGGATGGTTACCTAACCGATTTAAGAAGCTTTTTTTCATGAGTACAAATTTTTCCTTAAATCTTAGTGTCCTGACTCCGAATCGAATTATTTGGACTTCTGTATTCCCTCCTGTTCTACGGTCATGGAATAGATGAAATAAATAAATAAATGGATTTTTGTTCAAGAATGAAATCTTATTGGAACTGTCCATATCCAGTTCATCCTTCGGAACCATATCACATCCCGGATCTGATGAAATAGGATGAGGCGTTAAGAAACCCTCCTGGCCCAACCCTAGACCAAATCAAATACAGTAAGTCGCAAGAAACAAACATGACATGGGTATAAAAATATATTATAAGTCTCAACCAAACAAACAATATTTGCTACTTGTGGGCTTGGACCGTTACAAATGATATATCAAAGCCAGATATCAGTGAGGAGGTTGAGCCTTAAAAGGCGTGAATATGAGGCAGTGTGCTAGCAAGGACACTAAATCCCCGTGTAAAGTGGATTTGGAGGACTCCATATTGATTAGAGAAATGGTAAGTATCAAGTGCACCGAAAGAAGTAGATTGTGAGATGTATTTTTTTTTTATAAGATCGTGTAAATACAAAAAGTTGGCAAACAAAAAAATAATATAACCTTGATAGAAAGTAATTTGAATTAAACGAGATTGTAACATGAGAGTCCCGCATGCCCCAATCCAACCTAGTTTTCCATTATATATGAACATAATACAATCCAAGTTTTGCAGAGCTCCAATGGCTTCCACCGACTTTTCATTAATCGTTTTTGCGTTCTTACCATTTGTTTTCATAATCATCTCTGGAATGTCGAGGGGAAAATTGAGTGGGGTTGTCCCATGGAATTGGCCCATCCTGGGTATGAGGCCCACCGTAGTCGGCCATATCCACCGAGCCCATGATCGTATAACCGAAGTCTTACACGAAGCTGGCTCTACTTTCTTCTTCAAAGGCGTTTGGTTTACAGGTCTCGACTTCTTGATCACCGTCGACCCTTCAAACATCCACCACATTTTGAGTGCCAATTTCGGAAGCTACCCAAAAGGCCCTGATTTCAAGTACATTTTCGACGTTTTGGGAGACGGAATTTTCAACTCCGACTCCGATGCTTGGAAAATTCAACGCATAACCGCTCATTCCCTGTTCCGTCATCATAATTTTCTCCAATTCTTGGAGAAAATTACGTTGCAGAAGGTGAAACAAGGGTTGATTCCAATACTTGAAAGTGTTTGTGAAAATGGGTCGGTGTTGGATTTGCAAGATTTGTTCCAGAGATTCTCGTTCGATTCAACTTGTCAGCTCGTCACTGGCTTCGACCTCAACAGCTTATCTCTTGAATTCCCTCAAGTTCCATTCTCAAAAGCCATGGACGACGTAGAGGAAGTGATTTTTCTCCGCCATGTTTTTCCCAAAAGATTATGGGAATTCCAGAAGAAATTCCAAATTGGACAAGCCAAGAGACTGAAACAAGCTTGGGAAATCATAGATCAAACCATCGCAAAATTGATAGCCGCCAAAAGACAGAGCATGAATCAGCTGAAAAACGAAGACCCAGAAGGGGGAATTGATTTAATGTCATCATACATGAAAAACAGAGAAAATGACGACAAGATGTTAAGAGACACGGTCTTAAATTTCATGCTTGCAGGCAGAGACACTGTAAGTTCAGCTCTGTCTTGGTTTTTCTTCTGTCTTGCAAACAATCCGACAGTCGAATCAAAGATAAGAGAAGAGCTCGAAACAACGATTCCAACGAGCGAAGCTCGTTGTCAATGGCGGATATTCTCGATCGAAAAGTTAGATAAATTAGTATACTTCCATGGGGCATTATGCGAAGCTCTTAGACTATACCCACCAGTACCACTCCAACACAAGGTGTGTGTACAGCCCGACATTCTTCCATCAGGGCATCACATAAACCCCAAAACAAAGATACTATTTTCATTATACGCATTGGGAAGAATGAGCGATGTGTGGGGGAAGGATTGCATGGAGTTCAAGCCAGAGCGATGGATATCAGAAACAGGAAGGATCAAGCACATGCCGTCTTACAAATTCTTGGCGTTCAACGCAGGGCCAAGGACTTGCTTGGGAAAGCAAGTGGCATTCACTGAGCTCAAAATAGTGGCAGCCGCCATTATCCATAACTACGCGATTGTTCAAGAAACAGGGCAGGCGGTTGTTCCAAGTGCTTCCGTTATTCTTCATATGAAGCATGGATTCAAGGTCAGGGTAACAAAGAGATGGTGACTCAATTTTTGTTCTTCGTGTGAGGGTTGGATTTTCTACGTTTGTTTTTAAATATTTTTATTTTTCGTTTATATTTTAAAAGTTTGAAAAAATAAAGGACTAAACAACAAAAGAAATAATAATGGAATTGTCTACTAACATGCATTAATGTTCTATATTATATCAATAAAAAGAATGCTACAATATTTTGAGGTCGGAGATTCAAATAAATATATCTATATTTTTATTTATTTATTCTTTTGTCAAATATTATCCATTATTTTCTCTAAGAAATATGAAATATGTGAGCTGGAAGGAAATTTTAATTGATAATTATCCATTACTTTGTCCCCTTTTCTGATTATATAATTAATAATTATATTAATTTAATCTCAACCATTCATTCGTCAAATAATTTATTTTACTGTTGGAACACCTCTAACAAACACACAAGCGGTCTCTTTCTTATAGAAACTTGTTTCAAATATGAATATTCCGAAACCGGGCCAGAAGAAGAAAAAAGAGTGAGTTTTTGTTTAAGGAAATGCCAATGGTAGATGTGTTAAACTCTAATTGGTTTTCTAATTGAAAATGGAACCAATTCCGATACATATTTGGCTAAGCTCCTTATTTCGACAATTGTGTGTGTATATATATCTACTCTGCCAAGTTTGAGTTGCAGGGCTCCAATGGCTTCCTTAAGCTTTCTATCAATCCTTCTCGCTTTCATACCCTTTGTTTTCGCCCTGTTTGTTCTATCTCTGAAGTGGAACTTCAATGGGCTTCCATGGAATTGGCCTTTCTTCGGCATGACTCCCACTATTCTCTTCCATATCCATCGAGTTCATCATCGTGTAACTCGTATCTTACAACAATCTCCTTCCACTTTTCTTTTCAAAGGTGCTTGGTTTGCTGGTCTTGATTTCTTCCTAACGGCTGACCCTTCAAACATTCACCATATTTTGAGTACCAACTTCGATCGATACCCCAAAGGCCCTGATTTCAAGTACATCTTCGACGTTCTCGGAGATGGGATTTTCAACTCCGACTCTGTTTCATGGAAGACCCAACGTACAACCGCTCACGCTCTGGTTCGTCAAGAGAAGTTTCTTCATTTCTTGGAGAAAATTGCTATGAAGAAAGTGAGGGAAGGGTTGGTTTCAGTTCTTGAAAGTGTTTGTGAAAATGGGTCGGTGTTGGATTTGCAAGATTTGTTTCAGAGATTCTCGTTTGATTCCACTTGTATGTTGGTCACTGGCTTCGACCTCCATAGCTTATCTCTTGAATTCCCTCAACTTCCGTTTTCCAAGGCTATGGATGATATCGAGGAAGTGATATTTCTCCGACACTTCATTCCTAAGAAAATTTGGGAATTTCAAAAGAAGCTCCAAATTGGTCATCCCATGAGGCTGCAAGAAGCTTGGGAAATCATAGATCAAACCATCGCAAACTTGATAGCTACCAAAAGGGAAAGCTTGAATCAGCTAAAAGAAGAGAAAGATCAGGAAGGGGTTGATTTGATCACATCATACATGGAAAACAAAGAAAATGACGACAAGATGTTGAGAGACACTGTTTTAAATTTCATGATTGCAGGCCGAGACACTCTAAGTTCAGCTCTCTCTTGGTTTTTCTTCTGTCTTTCAAACAATCCGACAGCCGAAGCGAAGATAAGAGAAGAGCTTGAAACAACGATTCCAAGGAGCGAACCTCGTGGTCAATGGCGGATGTTTTCGATTAAAGAGGTAGATAAGTTAGTTTACTTTCATGGGGCCTTATGCGAAACGCTTAGACTTTACCCACCAGTTCCATTTCAACATAAAATCCCTTCACAACCTGACGTTCTTCCATCGGGGCTTCACGTGAATCCTAAAACAAAGATAATATTTTCATTATATGCATTGGGAAGAATGAGCGATGTGTGGGGGAAGGATTGCATGGAGTTCAAGCCAGAGCGATGGATAGCAGAAACAGGAAGGATCAAGCACGTGCCGTCTTACAAATTCGTGGCGTTCAACGCAGGGCCAAGAACTTGCATAGGAAAGCAAGTGGCTTTCACTGAGATGAAAATAGTAGCAGCAGCCATGATTCATAACTACGCTATTGTTCAAGAAACAGGGCAGGAGGTTGTTCCAAGTGCTTCCATTATTCTTCATATGAAGCATGGATTCAAGGTCAGGGTTACTAAGAGATGGAGCTGCTGAAGTTATTAAAAGGAAAAGAAATAAATGATTGACGTATCATTAAATGTAACATGTAATGTGTTATTATTTCGATATCAGTATCTCTTATATTTATTGTCGATGTACTACACATTTAATAGTCTAAGATGAAATGAAAAAAGTTAGTCCTTAGAGGAAGTTGGAGGGCCACATAGTCCCCAAAATAGTGTCAAAAGCTTCCTCATAAGTTCCCACACTCTTATCCTTCACCAAATCTTATCTTTTAAATCTGCCAAACAAATGTCCAATATCTTATCTTTTAAATCTGCCAAACAAATGTCCTATTTTTATTTATTTTTTAAATTGCCATCCCTGGCTTGCGATGAGCTTGGTAGTAACATTGGTAGATCCCCAGGCTATTTTTCAAAGGCGGGAACTTCAACAATTTACTTGGAAAGTAGTCTTTTGTAAGTACGAGAAATTTGGTTATGGTCATAATATCCTCTTCATTAGCGTACATTTGAATTCTAAAAGTACTTTTCAGTATTCCAAAAGTCAGTCAAACCCAGCATTGAAATTAAGTCTTCTGCCATTGGGAGGGGAGAAGATAAATAAGAACAGTATGTATGCTTGTAACACCATGAAATAACAGGATAAGATTTTCCATTACAGCATTCTAAATAAAGGGCTTATGATTCTTTTATACATTATAGACAAGGTGAGGAATCTGGCTCCCAATGTGCTATACCTCCTAGGCTTCCTAGTTTCTATTACCATCTCATTAATTTCAATAATAACGTTCAATGAGAGTTTAAAAGGTCTCACTCAGTTCCATCTCTTGGAATTCTTTTGTCCTTTTGATTTAGCTTTCGCTTGCTGAAATGACTGAATCTTCTGTTTCTTCCGTGCTTCCTTCTCGGCCTGTAAAATGATCAGAGATGAGGGAAGTAAATTAGCCTTAGCATTCACTGTGAACTGAAACCACCATAATCATATCCATATGTTCTACAAATGATTTCAGATGGCACTGTGATATCCAGGATCTAAATACCATACACCTTTGTTATAATTCCTATATTACTGTACCTTAGACATCTTGGATTTGGCTTTAAGCTTAGGAGCCTTTCCTTCAAGCTCTGCCTCACGTTCTAGCTCTCTTTCCCTGGCATCCAGATTCTTTTCCAGATAATACTGTCATAAACCACAAAAAGCATCAAGTAAGAACCTACTGACATAATTCATAACTGTCCCAACGGCTGCATTTCCACAAAATGCATAATAAGGATCTGGTATTATAAACAATTTCAAGACATGAAGAAGTAATTGGTGGAGAGATTCATGTGAAATCTACTATGGATAGAGAAATGGAGGAGGAGAAATTTTGGCAAAAGAGGTTTTGGATGAAATCATTCATATCAATCCCAATGAATGCAATATTTTGGAGAAACGTCGATTGAAGTCTCAAGAGATATTGATTTCCCCATGGGGTTCAGATAAAAATCTTTCTTTAATATCGGGAGCAAATTTTCATAAAATAGATACAGGGCAATTTGAACCCCAAGAACCAAGATCTGGAGCACTAGATGATAAACAAGTGAAGAGTCTAAGCAGCCTTACATTGTAGTCACCCGCATAATCCTGTAAATTGCCGTCTTTAACTTCAATGACTCTATTTACAATTTGCTTTATGAAGTATCGATCATGAGAAACAGTGATGACAGTGCCACGGTATTCATTTATTGCCTCCTGATAAGATATTCAGACAATTGATTATGATGTTTCAAGTGCAAGGTCAATCAGATACACTAATATTCAATTAAAAAAGAAAATGAACCTCGAGCATCTCTTTCGAAGGTATATCCAAGTGATTTGTAGGTTCATCCAACACCAGCAACGTTGATGGTTTTACCATGAACTTACAAAATGCAAGGCGTGCCTGTAAAAACAGAGTATAGATATTTAAATTTTGTGCCACACCTAACTCAAATAATACAGGTATACATGCCTAAAGAATAAGTACAAGCACAGGCACAAACTGGCAAAAACTGTGTTTGATTTTCCTACAAGAAAGTTCTTGGACATAGACACAGTAAATATACACTAATAAACTATATTTTCGTGTTCTAAAATGTTTTCATGAAAGACAGGCTCAAAGCATTTGCAGTTCAAATTAATATTTATATGCATCTAACTCTAAGAGCTTCAGCTAATTATTGAGGTAGATATATGTAAGTAGCACGTAAAGCCGGTTGCCCCAAAACTATAATCTAGACATCACAATTAGAATCGGGAAAGAGGGCGAAATATAATCACAGAATATATAAATTTTGAGTCTTCACAATGTGCTGAGAAAATAAAATTAATCTCAAGGATAGTAGGTAATTTAAAATTACCTTCTCCCCACCGCTCAAAAATGAAACCTTCCTATCGAGCATCTCAGTTTTAAAGTTACAGCGCCCGAGGAGACCTTTTATGTCATCAACTCTCCAGTCCTCAGCAACTTCCTCTACTGTCTCGAGCACTGTCTTATCCAGATCAAGTGCCTCGGCCTGAACAAGAGTACAAACAATTTAATCGGCAATACATTTTCTAAACAAAGATTAGCCCATGGCATAAAAAGGTCTGCCTACAATATTAGATGGAACCATTGAAAATGAGAAACGTGGTAATTATAGATCAATAGGTGTGATGTACGACTAACTGAAGCATACCTGATTTTGTTCAAAATAGTTAGGCAACACGTTGTGCTCCCCAAGCAGAACTTCACCTCCTTTTGGCTTTTCCAAACCCATTATTAATTTTAGTAGTGTACTTTTTCCACATCCATTTGGGCCAAGAATGGCAATCTTCTCACCCCTTTCAATGATAAGATTTGCTTTACTGAACAACTGCTGCCACACCAAAACCAAAAATTATATATGAATATGAAGAATATTAAATTGAAAAATACCCAATCACCCTGAAGCCTCATTAATATTTATAAAACTTCATTAACTCACCTTATCTTCAAACCCAAATTCCAAATTTTTTATAGCTACAACAGATCTCCCACTCTGCCCACGCTCAGGGAATCTAATCTTCATTTGTTTCCTTTGAAATGGCTTTTCTACAAGGTCCTCTTCTTGAAGCCTCTCCAATTTCTGTTGTTAAGAAAGAGAGTGACAGAGAGGAACAGTAGAGTGCTGTTAGGAGAATATATGAGGTTGCTGAAAGTAGAATTTGGCCCACCCAACATAGATATTAAGACTCCCACACAGTGGAAAGTGCAAAATTGAAGCAAATGAACTCTTTTTAGTGGTATCTTGAAGAAGAGGAAGAAAGCAAGAAACATGCAGGTTCATTTGAGCAAGTAATAAGTTCATGGAAACTATGCATACATTTAAGAAAGTATGATGAACAAGACATGTGATTTTAGGGGACAAAATTTCCAGTTAATTGGCATGCTTCAAGTACATAACGTCTTATATATTTGCGTAAAAGAAGACATGCAGAGCTCATGCAGGAAAGAAGAAATTTGTAGGTTGTTGCAAGAAAGTTTCAGGACAGGGTACCTCAAATGGTGCCTACTAATAATGAACAAGTTGTTAAGAACATAATTTCACCTGATACACATAACCTGTTGGCATGGTTTCTTATCTTATCACATTTATACCTAAAAGTGGAAGATGTTTATGTACCTTTTCAGCTGTGGAAGCACGACCGGAATTTGCACCAGCACCTAGCCGACTTATCAAGTCTTTTGTGTGTTCAATTTCCTTCTGCTGCTTCTCCCACGCTGCATTTTGAGCTTCAATCCATTCAGCCTTTGAAATGACATATTGTGAATAATTTCCCTCATATGTTCTCGATACACCCATATCAGTTTCAACTATTTTTGTACACAGCTGATCCAAAAAAGCTCTGTCATGTGAAATGATAACCATTGGCACATCCTGCTTGTTGAGATAACCCTCAAGCCACTCTATAGTGTCAAGATCAAGATGATTCGTAGGCTCATCCAATAGTAACAAATCAGGCTCCTGCAGAGGGGCATAAGATTATAACTCACTGGGTATGTGGCCAAACTTGGACATATCATAACCAACAACAGGTATAAAATAGCGCACTAAATAAGGTGCTTTGTCAATTGGAAAATTTAAACAGACGGTCAACGATAAGCAAGAATTAGTTTTATAATGTTAGATTATGATCTACCATGTGAATATACCTGAAGTAAGATCTTCCCAAGCGACATTCTCATCTGCCACCCCCCACTAAAAGATGCCACCAACCTGTCTGAGTCCTCCTCAGAAAATCCAAGTTCCGGCATCAGCTTACTGACCTTAACATCCACTTCGTCTAGGTCAACTGCTTGTGCTCGCCGCTGAAGCAAATCAAACTCATCCAGTAGCCTACCCATCAACTGCAAATCTTCCACTGCAGTTTCCAAAGCCTTCTGAACCTTCTCCAACCTTGTTGCTATCTCCATTTCCTCTTTGAATGCACTCAAAAACTCCTCCTTCACTGTCCTGCTCAACGAAACCTCAAATTCTTGGCTCAGAAATGCAATTTTCATATTTGCCTTCGCCTTTATCACATTCCCTGAATCAGGCTCTTCGAGACCGGCAATAATCCGCATTTGCGTCGTTTTCCCTGCACCATTTACACCAACCAAACCAACTTTTTCACCTTTTTTAACTTCCCAACTCACGTTCTTCAATACCGTCGCTCCCTTATAGCTCTTACTCACATTTTCAAGCTTCACACCTGACGAAATTCGAGAATCGCCAGCATTTGACTGTTTAAATACACGTTTACCTTCAAATCCATCCGCTGAGTCGCTGGAAAACAAAGATTCAATATCATCTTTGGTCGAAGTTTCCGCAACCGATGCTTCTACGGCCACTGCTTCCACTCTAGAATTCGCTCTTCTAGGATTGGGCAAACTACTAGCTCTAATACTTTTGAAGTTACCTCCAATGGGTTGAACAGCCGTTCGATTCGAAACCTGGTGCTGACAAGCCCCAAATACAGTCTTCCGAGAATCCAACAGAGGTGAGCCGGTGAGAAAGCTCGGGCGGAGGTGAAGATGATGAAGCTTGATAGTCAAGTCCATGTCTGAGAAATCAAAGAAACAGCAAGAAATACAGATGAAATAGAAGAAATCGCGGTTCGTGAATCGAAGGAACTCGCAACTCAAAGGAGATTGCGATAAGGAAAGGAAGCGCGAGCTCCTTCAATGGCAAACTGAGAACAGGATTCAGCCCACGGTTCACCAGATATTGGACTTTCATTTTAATTTTTTTTCCATAATTCTTTTTAATAATAATTTTTTTTTTTTAATAAGGATATTCATTCATATGTCTTTTTTAAAATTTTAATAAATACTAATATAAACTTAATTTATTTCCAAAAATTATAAATTTAGTAAAATATTTTATTAAATATTTTCTTTACCTATCCACTAAATACTTGAATTTTCCATATTCTAATTCTTTATAAAACAAAAATCGGAATTTATTAAAAAGATTATTGATAATTGAGATTATTTTTAGGGATTAAAATTCCACTTTATAAATAATATTAATAAGAATGTTTTTAAATATAGATGATGAAGATTGCATTTTTGTGGCCCGCGGTAGAGATAAAGCCCAATTCGTCAAATATGAGTTTTGTGGTGCCCGTGGCGCTAGGAAGCTTTCCCGTGGTCCACGTCATCCAGTGAAGTTCCGCCACGTGTTACCTTATTCGTGGGTCTCTGCTGTCCACGTATCTTGCTTTACTGACGGCTTGATTTTTTTGTTTCTTTCTTTCATTAGTCATCTTCCATATGCATACAATTCACACACCTTGAACCAAACAAAAATAAATAAAATTTCAATCTTGGTCTAAATTTGGTTAATGAAAAACATTACTTTTAATAGCATACTTCGTTACTAGTCCAAATGTTGAATTTACTAGTTCAATTGAAAATAGCATAGTTCCAGTAACAAATGGACTGTGAGATTCTACATTTGGTGAGAAGAAAAATGAAACATTATTTATAAATGTGTGAAAATCTCTCATAATAGAAGTGTTTTAAAAATCTCGAAGGGAAGCTCAAAAGGAAAACTCAAATATGACAATATTTACTATCGGCCTTAAGGTTTTACAAATGGTATTAAAGTCTCAGATATCGGGCGATGTGTCGATGAGGAGGCTAAGCCTCAAACGAGGTGGACACGAGGCGGTGTGCCAACGAGAATGTTGAGCCGTAAAGGGAGTGGATTGAGGGGATCCCACATCAATTGGAGAAGGGAATGAATGTTAGCGAGGACGTTGGTTCTCAAATGGGGGTGGATTGTGAGATTTCATATTAGCTTGGGAGTGAGAACAAAACATTTTTATAACTATGTGGAACCTTTCCCTAATAGATGTGTTTTAAAATCGTTGAAGAAAGCCTAAAAAAAAAACTCAAATAGAACAATATTTACTTGCAGTGAGCTTGGTTGTTACATGGACTAACCGTAATTGTTTGAGTTTTGGACTCACTTGATACTCCATAGCCTATTACCTTATATTTTGGATCATCTCAATAAAATAGTTGTGAAATTATCGTTATTTGTTGGCGCTACAATAACACATTGTAACGCTACATCGTTTCGACTTAAAATAATTGTTCGAGCCTAGGTTGGAGAAATGACGCTAGTGTGAAATGTATAATAAAAGTACGGGAAATGGATCTAGGTTTTCCGATCTCTTCAATATCTCCTTGCAATAAAATCATGTAATATTCATGGCTGCCTATTTCGTGTTTATTCCTTCCTTTCATTTTTATTGTCGTTGGTTATGTATATAGAACTAACTTTCGAAGTGTATACAAGATCTTCTAGAAGCATTTATTATATGGGTGATTTTGTCGTTTTTCTAGGAGGGAGGAGATGTGGAGATTAGCTTTTCAAGCCATATATAAACTCTAAAAAAAAATTATGAAACTAATATAACTCGACTTTAGTTATTACACAATTAAATGCGTATTTTTTCATTTGATTAAATATAAATTCAATTTTACCCGTTGCATTTTGACACGATTATTTAAATATATTAATAAAATAATAATTTAAAACCTTTGTTAAATTTCAATAGAATTATTAGATATATAATCTGGAAAGTGGTTAAAAAAATTATATACCAATAAACATTGGTAATAAACACATTTAGCCTCAAAGCTATCTTACGTGGAAAATTCATACTATTACCATTATACTTAAAAGTATTATTTTATTGGTTAAATTACAAAATAATACCTCTTCCTTATTTAAAAAAAAAAAAAAAGGAATATTTTTTAAATGAAGGGAAAATTAAGAGTTTTTTTTTTTTTTTTTTTGGTAATACAACCTATTTTATTCGAAGAATCTAAACCATTGTACTAAAATGGTTTTTTAATGTTACACGAAGGAAGAAACGACGTCGTTCGGGATAAGGTCAATGATCCAATCCACGCAAGGCGCGTAAGCGGCATGATAAATATATATTTTATTCCGTGTGCGGCTAAACATACAACTGTAAAAGCCTGAGAGCCAGCGATGGCCACACTGAAACAGCCAAGATTAGTGCTCGAGTGGCATAGTCGTAATATTGTGCACGCGAGAGCCCCATTATCGTCTATTCGGAGGACGTATATAGACTCAACACAGGCTTCCACTCTTTTTTTTATTTCTTGTGTTCTTGCCCGGTGATTCTTCTTCGATTCTGCTCTAAGCTTTCACTCGCAATCCTCTTTGCAGAGTACAAAACTCGAACTCTCCTCTTGCAGCTTGAAGCGTCTTCTCGTCCGGCGTTATTTTCTGTGTTGTGAAGTGAGAATTTGCAGTCGATACCATGGACGATCGGAAGGAGGTCGTTTTTTTCTCTGTTTTTTTCGCCCTGCTGCTTGTGTGATTTGCTTGCTCTGTTTTTTTTTTTTTTTTTTTTTTTTTGGATATTTGTTTCCGTTGAGAAGCGTAGGGTTTCGTTTTGTACTTTTCGTTCTTTGCTAGTGATAGAGAGGAAATGCATAAATTTCTTGATCTGAGTTGAAATGTTTAGCGGGACTCTTGAAGAGGTGAGATTGTCGTCTCTTTGGTGTTTGACCTCGCCTAATGAAAACAATCGTAGCAGCATTAGAATTTCGTTATTATTAGTAAGTTTTTTTTTGGTCAAACTGTGAGTAAAACGTTGCTCTCTTATTCGTTCTTTTGAGCGGAATCATCGCTGTTTTCGTGGCATTTCATCTTGCACATGCACTGGTATTACCATTTTCCTCTTCGAAATTTGAGATTTTCTTTTTCTTTTTCCTTATATTTCCACCTTTTCCGGTCGAAATTTCTCACATTGCTTTTAAATTTCCGAAACGTAATTTGATTAGTTCTCTAGCTTGGTTGGATTTTGACGTCTTTATTTTGTCACGGGAGAAATTAGCGAATTGCTTTTGCTTTTTAACCGTTTATGATTAATTCACGGAGGCAATCATGTTACTTTTTCTAAGCTGGGAAGCAGTCAATCCTGTCAACTTTTTCTTCCATCCTCTTGCCAATTATTTTCCTATGGTTCCATAATTTCAACGCTTTAGCCGATAGGTTTCCTTCAGTTGCTCTTCTATTTCGACCATTGACTTTTTGTTTATTTATATATATATATATAGATTTTAGCATGTTCTGAAGACTGAAAAATAAAATTTCAGAGAAATTGCTGTCGCTGACTTTGAAAGTGGGAAAACTTATCCAATTAAATACTCTCCACACATAACGAATCGTATAGTTATTTGATTTACAAGAGAAACTTACTTTTTGGCCGAGTAATAAATTAGACAAGGTGAGGTTACTGTGCAAATCTCTGATATGGCGTGTGCTAGCTGACATTAAATATGTTAGTTTTAGAAAATTGAGAAGCTTTGGAGTTTTTAATTGATGTTGTTTTAATAATTTAATTCTTAAATGTAACTTACATTCTTGGCTTCAACTTAAAGATACGATACTTTTTATTTTCTACAGAAAACTGCTCCATGGCTTTCAGTGCCACAGTTTGGAGACTGGGACCAGAAGGGACAGATGCCTGACTACTCTCTTGATTTCTCAAAAATTAGGGAAAATAGGAAACAGAACAAGAGAGACGTGTCTCGAGCGAGTCTTGGAAATGAAGAGGAGCTCATTGCCTCAGCTGCGCCTCCAACCACAACGGACTCTTTCCCAACTGATAACCATCACCCCTATCATCAGAGTCATCATTCTCCACCAGTAAGATTCTCGCTTCTCCTCCCTAGATTTGATATTCGTAACTTTTTGATGTCTGATAGGGACTTGCATGTTCTTCTAAACAAATACCGTTTGGACAACTCAAGAATTTGTTGGCTTGGGTTGGGTTATATCAATGTGTTGTATGTGCCTGGAAAGTTCTTTATCAAACTTGTGGGTCCATGCTGCCTGCTATTATTTATTAACTTGTGGGCACAGCTATTGATTGTGGAAAAGTCAATACAAACCTAAAAGTCACAATGTCCATAGGAATACTTTCCGAAAGTGTCATCTAATTTTATGATGAATAGGCTAATGAAAGTTTTAATATTAGATCTCCTACCCTCAATGCTCTAGGATGTGGTAAATGTTAGTTACATATATATATTGAAAAAAGATCTCAGATACCAGTCATATTTTCAGTCTTATATATTTTTTTGATGATCACAACTCTTCCTATCCATAGCATCGTGGCATTGAAATTTAGTCAACTTGGTTCTTTGTTTAATTTCCAGGGTTAACCATTGGTGTTACTGTTTGAATTACTTAGAGGTTATCTCTTATATTGGTGACGTGAAACGTACATTGATGTCTGCATAGAAACTAGATCAAACAAGCTGCAGTGTTTTAGAAGAGAATTCTCATCTACTATTTGTTAATGTTAATCATGTCCGTTATGTTACACCTATGCCTTGTTTCAGGGCATAAAATTTAAACAAGAATTATAAAACTAATCGATGATTGGAAAAAGATAAATAAATTGTTTAAGAAGCTGAATGCATTTTTTTCATCGTGTCAGTCCAGTTGAAGGGGAATTTTAGATGATCCATTAGCATACATAAATAACTAATAAACATTTACAGGTCGTGAGTCTTGTCCATCGTTTAGATTTTATGCAGGCAGTGTGTATTGTTCAATTAGGATGAGGTGAGATGTTGACTTAAGGTTATTGGTGGAAACAAGTTTGGGGCGGGGTCCCCCTCGCACCTAGCCCACTAGAAAATATTAGTTGTGGGCATTCATGTGGTGTATGTTGCCACATCTCTCAAAGATTGAAATCGGGGGAATAAATCCTATCACATATTAAGGAACGGCCAGAAAGGTTTTCTTTTCTTAATATGGGGAAGGGGAAGAAAAGCACATTTTTCCTACTAAGGACAGATTCTAGCTTATGTCAACGTCCATTTTTGTTTTAGTTCTTTTTAGATTAGCTGTAAATGGCGGTTGAGAAATTTTCAGGTGTGTTGGTTTATTATGGTTGACCGACTTCCTGTGACCTTCAGATGTGTAGTCTCACATATAATTTCTTGGTTTAATTGAAGGGGATGATGATTATATTTTGGACGGTCAGCCACAATATGACATTTAACTCAGATAATTTCTGGATCACTCTCAGTATATGCTTCGTATATGTTTTATTGCATTAAACAAGAACAGTTAACCACAGCACCGCATTAATTGCTTTGGACAAATCAACTTCTAAATCAAAATAGATGAGATGCTGGTTGGCTTGCCTAGTCAGATATAGAATGAAAATAATTGAATGCATTTTATGATCCTATTTATTTAATTGTCGGTTGAAGTTATGTTTTAGATTTTAATTGGACTGAGCATTTAGATATTTTACGTGGTTAGAAGTATGCTTTCATGTTAACTTTGTCTGCATTACAAATTAGTCAAACTAGTGAATAACTTGGTTCATATTATACCCTTTACCAAAAAAAAAAAAAAGAATTCAGTTCATATTACAACGGGTTTCATAGTTTAACCTCTTCTTTGGTCTTGGGTATTGTAATGAATCAATGAATGGGAAAAAAAAAAAAAAAAAAAAAAAAAAAAAAACGGAGGACTTGATATTGTTGATCCATTCGGAATTAATGTTTAAGGGTGTAGGGTGCTTGGTTGTCTTAGCTTATTAAGTCTAGGGTTGAAGAACTTCAGTCTATGTTACTGTTGTTTGTGTCTTGACTTCGCAAACGAATGGCTTTGTGAAGTCTGTCTATCTAATGTATATGTTTGGATTGTGCAAAGAAGTGAGTTTGTTAATATTGAAGTTCTGTAAGTTATGCTTGGGAGGGTGGTTTTGAGATTTGAAAAGGTTAATTTGAAAATCTATTTTTTTATTATTTGGCACGTAAAAATGTAAAATTAAAATAAATTGCATGAAATTTTTCTTAACATTTTGCTTGATAGGTTAGTGGGTAACATTATCCAGAGTGAAGGAAGTACTTTTGTAGTATCACTGACAGCTATCAAGCTCATCTCATCCAAGAGGATTAAAAAATTGTGAGGTGGGGGAACGTTAGGAATTACGACTCTCCACAATAGTATGATATTGTCCACTTTGATCATAAGCTCTCATGGCCTTACTTTGGGCTTTCCCAAAAGGTTTCATACCAATGGAGATAGTATTCCTTCCTTATAAACCCATGATCTTCCACCAAATTAATGAACTCACTCCCAATAATTCTCAACAGGGAAGTGTGAGCGTAAGAGGGAAAGGAAGGTCTTTCCCAATCCGTCTCGGGGTATTTTGTAGTAAAACCATGGATTAGTTCAATGGTATTGAACTTGTATAAAGTTGTAAAATGGGTGGACAAGCTTCCAGCTCATGGGATTGGGGTTCTTACCAAAATCTGAATATGGAGGTTCAAACTTGTTTGAACTAATGTACTTTCTTTTTAAATTCTATTTAGGTATGCGATCTTAGCTAAATTGTACAAAATAATTGGACGAGTATGGAAAAGTGTGTCTATTTTTTTTTTTATTATTCTTACACGTGTTTTTTTTTTTTTTTTTTTTTTTTTTTTTTTTTTTTTTTTTTTTTTTTTTTTTTTTTTTTTTTTTTTTTTTTTTTTTGTTTTTTTGTTGATTTGCCAGACGAGAAAGAGCATTCTAAGCTGCTTCAACTGCTGCTTGAAAGCTTGAATTGAGTAGTCTTGAAGAGCCCACTTGTAAGTTGAAATGTCATTGTATTTATTGCTTTGGTACGATTACCTTCACTGCCCTTTATTTGAATTAGAACAAATGTATTATATGTTTGGATTTTGTAATATGTCTTTGTTCTGAACTGTGGCACAGTCCACTACTGTCTCATTAATTCCTCCTTGAATTAAAATAACTTTACAAGTGCCTCAAAAGTGTTCTTTTAAGTCAAAAAGAAAATATGCTTAAGTACTTAGAAAGTCCTTTCAAATCGTCCATAGATTAATTAAAAAAAAAAGGTAGGCGCAATGTAAATATTAGTATTGGCTTTTGGTGATTTGGCTCGATGCCTTAAACAGGGAGAAAAAAAGTAACGAAAGAGAACTAGCTTCACAAGTCTGCAATAATCGACGCTTACATATTAAGAAGCTATAGATAAAGTATATGAGATAACATTCTCTAGTATAAACAGAAAAGTTGATCAAAGTGGTTAGTTCTTGGATTTTATAGAACAAGGCAGGTGAAAATATATGCATGACTTCCAATTGCCATTTAAAAAATATCATTATTATTCAATATTTGACCAGTTTCTTGTAGGGGCAGTTAATTAATAGTTACAAATTTTATATGAAGTTTATTTCGTATTGAATCAACAACTTGCGATTTCATTGGCAATTACAGGAGAATGGTCCGTAGATTAATACAAATAAAAGCAACAAAGTGTTGGGCAAGATTAGAACTTAGAAGGGTTGTTGGTGACAACAGAAAACTGAATGGTTGTTGGTGACAATAGAAAACTGAATGGTTGTTGGTGACAATAGAAAACTGAATGGTTGTTGGTGACAATAGAAAACTGAATTGAGATTGAGAGGAGGAGTGATTTGAGTGATGGAAATGGAGGTCATTTTATACTATACGGGATTCTCTGGTTGAGATTTTTGTGGATGAATTTAAATTTACCTCCTTCTTCTCCGTAACTAATTCAAATTCTATTATTAGCTATTATTAGTTTCAGGACAATACCTTAAAATTTCAATCATTTTTTTTTGTTGGGGATTGTCGAGCAATGAATAATGATGTGAATATTATAAATAAATGAAAAAAAAAAAAGATTTTTAATTTTGTTTTTTTTTTGGCGTGGAGTGGAAAAAAGTGGAAAACTTGGGGGCGGCCCGGCGGTGGTAGGTGTGATGGAGATACGGACCAAATAAAAAAGTTTCGGCCACGTGTCAGTCATGCATTAGAAGCTAGTTTCACAAAGTGCAGAAACCTAATCCCGAGAAGCCAACTGCCCGACCTACCAACCCCACACACAATATTTCCTACGTATCCACAAAACTGTCACATCATCCTTTTTTTAAATATAATTCCAAACAAAACAATTTATTATTTAAAGTGGGTAAATTTGTAATATATATATATATATAGTGTCTATTTCATTATTTTAAAATCATTAATTTGAGCATAGAGATTTATTTAATTTCATGGATTAGGGTAAACAAATTTATTATTTTATTTATTAAATTTTGTTTTGAGGAGTTTATTATAGCGCGCACCAAAATGGATTCTGCTTTATCACTCAAGCTTCTCATCCGCAGAGATACATCGATTCACTCTGGCTTCTGATTCCAGCTATTTGGATTCCTTATTACGTTCTTAATCCTGTTTCTTTCTGCTGCCTTCTTCTGATTCTGCCGTGTTACGCGACGTTGATTGGATTTCGGGATTCAATTCTTTTCGCTCCCCAAATTGCATCGTTCTTCAGCCGCGATCGTTCAACTTCTACTCTGCCTACCAGTTTCGTTCGGTCTGAAACAAGCAGGAACTGTTTTCCTGGTTATTTTCTAGCTTTCTCACTGTTTGATGCTTCTGTTATTGGCGTTGATTTGATTCTGATGATTCTTTTGATTTTTTTTTCCCTCCGTATCCCTCTTTTCTCGTCTATTTCTCTGCGTGATCTTTTATTCAACATAGCCTTCAGGTCGTGTATGGTGATCTCTGACAAGATTAATCAAGTTAGCTGAGTAACAGAAGTGGTTTGGCGGGACTATGGAGGCCAACTTAGGACATTTGCAGTATCTATCAGTCCGGATTGATTCCGGAATGTTTGTGACGAAACCGAGTGGTTCGGTCCGATTTCTTCAGCCAATTTCTGATCAGCACAAGCCTCTACCTCTGGTTTCAGCTTTTCAGCAACCTCTGAGACTTCCGAATCGATGCAGGACGGTGTCTTTTGGGGCCTCCTGCTATCGTGAGAATATTTCAGGTAACATTGGACTTCCAGTGTGATTAGAAATGTGCATTTTTCTTCGTCGTTCATCCTCATGTCTTCCTTTCGTAAGGACTATGGATTTTATTTTATTTTTTGGATTGGTGAATTCCTTTGCATCCTTTTTTGGTCCTAAATTAATTTCCATTTCTCTGAAGAATCAAATATTATGAAAGCAGGAACTACGCAGTATGATCGAGTAATTTGTCTGAAGCAGTCTAATTCTACATCTATGGCGTTTTACCCTTTTTTACATTCTTAAAACATCCAACATTTTTTCACATTATCTTTCGTATGATACCATTAGTGATTTTGTTGCCATTACAAAGGCTGTTAATACCAGTTTAAAACATGCCTTTTGTTTTATTATTTTGTTGTTGTTCTTGTCTACAGCTTGCGAGTAACCAATTGATCTTTGGCTTATTGCTGTCAATGCTCCTTTTGTAGGGCTGACATTGGAAACTGAAAACTTTCATCCTTTCGACAAAGATCTCCTTCTGAAGGTCAAGCAGAATTTTTGTTGCATGTTTACATCAGCCTTAATTAGAGTTGTTGTGACGTGGGATATGTGATTTTATTTCTAATTCGTGGAATCTACCATAGATGAAGTTTGAACAAAACTTTTATGTGCAACTTTGAATGTTAAGCTAAACTAGAATTTGAAAAAAAAAAAAAAAAAAAAAAAGTGCAGAACAAGTCACATGAGGTCCAGCCCCATCTAAATGGACGATGCATATATCTAGTTGGTTAGTGTCTGTTATTTTTTACACTTTATAATTGGCAACTCTTCTGCTTAGATACTAATCTATCAAAATGCTTCTTTGCAGGAATGATGGGTTCTGGAAAGACAACCATAGGCAAGATTTTGGCGAAAGAATTGAGTTACACATTTTCCGACAGGTTTGCGTTATTTAATTGATGGCTAGCACAGGATTTTGGTTTGAATTTTTACAAACAAGGAAATAAAGAACATATTAGAAGAAAAATTAGTGCCTAATTTCCTCAACATCACGTCATTATTCCAGCATCGAAGGTCTATTACAAAGCTGAACTGGATAGAAAACAGTTTTGAAGTGATTTTACATGCAATATATGATTTTTACTACGCTTTCTGAGAGAAAATTATGGCATTCATAATCTGCATCCATTTTTTAGCACAAGTATGTTAATGCAAGTTACTTGCTTTTGTATTAATTATGCATTACATATCTGGATCAGTGATACATTGGTGGAGCAGGAAGTTGGTGGAACTTCAGTGGCAGAAATTTTCAAGCTTCATGGCGAGGGCTTTTTCAGAGATAAGGAGGTTAGTTAGCAGGCCATTTGACCATCCTTTCCATCTGTGAAGAGTATGGTTATTACTATCTATTGTTTTTGATGTTTTCATGAACCGAGTGTAATGTGGGAAGTGCAATGCTTCCACGATAATTTTCATGATAATCACAAATGTCAGCAATGTGATTTTTCTTCTTCCGCTTTTATAGAAATTGAAAGGGATCTGGATTTATAATTGGGGATATCCAAAAAGCCTGATGAATTTTTTCAGTTAGGTTGAGTTTAAAACTTGTGTGTTTTTTTCCATAATTCAACGATTAATGATTTGAACGAAGCCTATTGGGGATCCTTACTTTTCTTCCAATTATTAATAGACTGTGAATATTCATCGATAAATTTCAAGTTTGATTGTAGGTTTACTGTAATTAGCCACGGAACTATTTATTATCGATTGATTGCCATTGTAAAAAGTATTTGAAACTTATGCCGCATTTTCAAACATAATCACTGTTCTTAGCCATTCTTGCTACTCTTCCAAGTTACTACTGCTATGGTTTTAAGCAGCTAAGTAAAATGTTTTGCAACTCTAAGCTGTTATAGCAGATCAAAGTTAGTGACAGTGATTTTTCTGTTAGACTGAGGTATTGAGAAAACTATCATTGATGCACGGGTTTGTTATTTCCACTGGTGGAGGTATTGTTGTTCGGCCTATTAACTGGTAATTTGTTTGGACACTCACACTTTATAATTGTTATTTGGTTCTCTGTTTTATTTGTTAAATGAGACTCCTCCTATTTGATTGTAGGAAATATATGCAGAAGGGGATTAGCATCTGGCTAGATGTGCCGTTGGAAGCTTTGGCAAAAAGAATTGCTGCAGTGGGTACCGACTCTCGCCCCCTCTTGCACCATGAGTCAGGCAATGCCTACACAAAGGTGGTGAATCATTGTCTGTGAGGGAAAACATTTATCCATAAACTATTTACTTTTCTTTATTAAGGTTTTTAGGGGTGTTGCTTTTTGGTGTTGAACTCGTGATGCTTGATCCTAGTACATCTTTTAATCTGCTGATTCTCACTCAGGCTTTCAGGCGATTGTCAATTCTTCAGGAGGAGAGGGGTGATGCATATACCAACGCCAATGCCAAAGTTTGTTTAGGAAGTATGAATTAAATAAATCTTGATACTCCTTTGTCATTCTGGAAATATAGAAGTAACAAACTTCGCGTTGGAATCCATAAAGCTACAACGTTTGTTTATTGTTCCTGTATCTTCTGTGTTAAGGAGGTGATTAAAACTTAAAATCAAGTTTTTGTTAACTTGCAGGTCTTGCAGCCAAGCTGGGGTTTTCAGATGTATGTAATCTGACGCCTGCAGATATTGCTTTAGAGGTTCCTCTCTTCCAGCCTCATCTTTGTTCTTGCTATGTTTGATTAAAAAATCTGACCTCTCAATAAAGAGATAACCTTCTATATTAAAAAAAGAATGCTTGAATTTTAAGTCTATTCTTTCCAGGCGCTTGTACAAATTCAAACATTCCTAGAACAGGAAGATGGTTATTCTACTAGTTAAGACTGCAAATGTTCAATATCCAGAGCCTTAAGCCTCTCAAGCATGGAAGAAAGCCTTGCTTCTACTCATGGCAATTGTATAATATGAGTGGTAAGTACTTCTTTGAACTTGATGATCCGGTGTGAATAACATCTCAAATTATGTCGATGTTAGAAGTGCATCTCTGTAAATTTTGTGGTCGATCAAACTTGTGTGTACATGCACATAGTGTGTGTGACTATTGCATTATTTGAAGATTGTTGTTTGATTATCATCGTATTTCTGCATGCATGTAAAATATTCCATTGCATCTGAAGTAAGCAGCATTGTTTGATTACCGTTTTATTTTTGTATGTTTGTATGGTCCATTGCGTTTGAAATAAGAACAAAATTTAAAAATATAACATCTTGTTGGCAATTTTGTTTTTATTGTATTAAAAAAAAAGTGTCATTTTAATCGTATCATGTAGATTTCTTTTGGAATTGAAAAATTGAAACATTTATCAAATTTTCTCATTCTTTCTGTCGTAAAGAACAATTTCATAAACTTCTATAAAGGTTAGAAAAGCAACATTTCTTAATGGGTAGGCCATGAATTGAGATCATCATCTACCAACTTAAATGGATACCTACCCGCTGAAATATGATATCTGATGGGCAGCTCGACAATTCTACTGGCTGGGCCTTTCATTTAGTTTACCCGCTACCATCATGCATAGACATCGATTATTGAGTTATGTTATGTTGTGTCCTCCTTCACTCTCATGTTAGTCTTAACTCGATAAAGTATTCATTCATCGATTCTGCACATTCTCTCTCTCTTCAATGGAGAAGTAGGTCGGGTTAGTTTTTTTTTGGTATTGTTTGATAACAATCCCTATCAACTTCAAACCATTTTTCAGATTTATAAATAAATAAATAAATAAATAAATAAAACGAAATGAAATTCAAAGATCTCTATAGTGTTTTTAATTTTTTTTTTTTAAAAGTGAAATGATTTTGGTTGATTAAAATATTTTTTCAAAAATTTCTAAGAACATGCTTGGAATTCTTAACATAGTATTGCAAATCCTACTTTAAAAGAAGATTCATCGCAACCATGCAAACAAATCTCTCGTGATTAATTTTTTTAATTTTATTTTTAATTCAACAACATATGGAATTAAAACTTTCGACCTAAAATAAGTTTTCTTTGCTTATTACTAATAATATCATATCAAAATAGACACAATCACAGCCAACAAATTTAAATAAACAAGAACGACAATTATATAATATATTCTCTATATCTGATGGTGTCCATTGCATGATCTCCTACACACTTTCCCTAAATACCAAAATATTCGTATTAATAAATTTTATGCATTAAAACTCATCTTTACTAAATTTTATCTAATCAAGTGACACTTCTTCAATCATGAAGAATGACGAAACAAGATCAAACTTGACCTATTTCAGATTCTTGTCACTTGATCAGAGAATATCCTTCACATGAAGCTATAAATTCATATACTAAAACTGTATTTTATATATATATGCATACTTACATATCTTTGATTCCGCCTTTCAATTGCCATCGTACAAGTCACTGGGATCGTTTTCGTAGAAAAGGCCGTCGACGATCTGGTCAATAAGCGAATCAATGAAGGTGTTGCAGCTGATGCTGAAGATTCGACCTACTCTGTTTCGGGCGTTGGAGGAGAATGCAAAAATGGCTGCCAGAGTAACAGCTCCCAAACAAACTCCTGCTGCTTCCTCAATCCCCTCCAAATCCATCTTTCTGAATACTGAATTTCCTGTCACCACCTCCATTGTTACGGTCGCCGCAAACACAATCTGCAAACAATTGGAATCTGAGAAGACATTGCCTCGCTTATAAGGAATTTAAGGTATTTTATTTGACGAATTTTCCAATGATTTTATCACCGCGTAATTAATCAACAACTTCGACTAATTTCATTGGCTAGATCAAGAATACTATTCATAGCGGAAGCCACTACCGAAGAGTACTATTCATAGCGGAAGCCACTACCGAAGAGTTGTTTCAGTTGAAAAAGAAGATGAAAGTGCACGTTTGCTAATTTAAGGAATGATCGTAACTTTATAATCAAGAAATATTATCTCTATTAGTACAAGACTTTTGAAGGCTTTTTGAAGAGTTCAAAGCAAAGTAATCTTATATTAAGAGGGAATAAGGAGATACCTAATTTCTAAGACACCTTACCTCTATTTAGCTCAAAGTATATGAAAATGAAGTATGATTACGAGATGAAACCGGAAACTCACCATGGCGAGGCGGCCGGAGATGATCTCGAACTCATGGCTATCCTTCGAACTCTCTATGTACTCAGACAGAGTCGCGAAGAACCGAGAAACGTCGTCGTCTGAAGCATCTCCAGAGGCTACTCTCTTAGCCTTAATAGGAACAACCGGATCGGATCCAAAGGATCTCAAAGTGCATAAACGAGGCTGTAGAAGGATCTTCGGGGTATCCGAATGGGCGGACTTAAGTTTCGGAAGCGAAACGGAAGCAGGCGTCGATCTTGGCGGGACGTCGGGGAAGGAGGAGCGCAACTGGCAGTGAACAGAGCGTGGCGAGGCAGCCATGGACGAGGCTGTGCAGAGTGCGATTGAGGATGGGAGAGAATGGAAGAATGAGCAGTGGAGAAGAAGAATCTGAGAATGGTGGATTTAGAGTACACGTTGGAGGTGATGGGAGGATGGGACGTGGCGCCTTTTTTGTACGCTCACGCAGTTTTCAGCTCTAGGTGAGGTGAGGCACCCTGCCCTCCCTTTTTATACAAATTTGAAAACACTGTTAAGCATTTCCAATTTCGATAATAGAGTTTTTACGCTTTTTATTTTTTAAAAATAAATATTCAAAAATTTTAATTAAATTTGAATGAATTGTTGTTTTATGCTGGGTTTGAAAATAAGAAACTCTATTCTAAAAACAAAAATAAAATTTTAAAAAATGAATCTTTTTCAAAACATTGTTTTGATTTGTAAACACAAGTAAATAAGTAGATTTTGTGAACTCATCCTTAGAAACAAACCATTAAAAAATAAATGAAGCAAAATTTTAGTTTTCAAATTTTGTATAAATATTGAAAACATTTGTCAAGGATAACAACAAATGCCTTATTTGACGTTTAACTTAAAATATGCTTTCCCTACTGCTATGGGGATTTCATATGCCGTAAAAGATCAAATTCTTTAATTCTTTACTTCAACAGAGGTCTTATAGAAGAGAATTAACACTACTGAACTTATTTAATGGCCTTCTTCTAATTCCTTTAGGGGTAGGTGGATCTAAACTTAAGCTTGAGATGGCCTTCTTGTTTTTTCTTGAATCGTTTGGATTCTAATCTCTTAAGAAGAGGTGGTCAGTCAAGTTTAAGACACTCGATGCTATCACAAGCTAAAGCCTTGAGATCAATTCTTTTAGGAAAATCATGAACTTGTCAACTCAAAATCATGAAAGGAAATTACTTACAGCCATCAAAATTTAAGTTTGCTCCCACTGATATCTTCAACTTTGTACTCTACTTCTTCTTACCTCGTTTGCTAAAATGATTCAAGGCGAGCCGAGAGAACCTCGTGAGGGAGAGAAATAATTGAAAGATGGAACGGCCTTTCACAATCCCCTCCTTGATGTCTCTTGCCCGTTTAGCCAGAACCGGCTCTGCTGCCTCCACTCCCAGATTGGCTACTGTCATTTCCTGCACTTTGGCTAATCATGTAAAAACGAATTCATTGCTCAACATTCAATAATACCCTCCTCCCTTTTGTTCAAATAAGAGGCAAATAAATCGTAAGGGAACCTGTTGGAGTCATGTTTGTCAAGCTACGCAATCTCTCTTCTGCTACTCGAACAGCTCTAGTGGAACTTCTCACACCTTGGGTGATATTCTGGCTGCAAAGGATGCCACAATTCAGCATTGTGTCTCGTTCTTTGTAACATATGTAAATAGTTAGTTACTGGGTAAACAAAAGAGTTCAAAATCTGATGTCAAACCCAAGATCACTAAGCTCCATGGTCAGATCACTAATTTCCATGCCAGATAACCGAATGGCTGCCATAGTGCCTGGAAGTTCCTCCCTTGTGACATCCATGAGCTTCTCTAATGATTCGGCTGCTCTCTTGAATGCCTTCGACATGAAAACATTGGGGGCAACAGGTTATCAGTTTGAAGCATTGGAAGAATGGCATATGGATGCTAAGACACAGGAAATATAGCCATGCCCATATGATACATCGCTTTAAATTGACAACATTCGTCGTAATCAAAGTTGGAGAATACAAACCAGAAGAGTGGGAATTGCAGAACAAAAGAGCCAGGTTGCAGCAATAGCCGTCTACAAAGAAGTGAAAATGCCTAGTTATCAGCTAAACCATATTTCCACACTTCCCAATCACCAGGAAAAGTACAAGCCAAATATGAGTTCCACTGCTTTACACAGAAGTCCAAGCGTTGAATTACTCACAGTAATAACTACGAATTTTAGCAGAATTTCTCGGCCTCATTTGAATTAAAAGGCCCCAATATCAGACAACAAGCGTTGGAAGTTAAAAAAAAAACTCAACAAAATAACGTAATTACTCGCATATTTCCAACTATTAGCGACGAAAATACGTAAACAGAAATTTTCAAGTATGTCAATTGTGTCAAAAGGGAAAGCAATCGCAAATTTGGAGGGACAGGGGAAGGGTGTAGTTTGTGTTGCTAGGAATGACACATCGCACATGCTTTCAATAACAATCAACACGTAAACCAAATCTATTAGACTAAACGCATCCAAAAAAGCCCTTTCGAACTCAGATTCTCAGTGAAAGAAATTAAAAGAGGTCGGATTACCGCGCAGGCAACGACATTAAGAACAAGGATGTGGCGTTGAGTTAGTGTGCACTGAGAGAATTGAACAAATGCCGGAGAAGAATGTCCAATAGTTTCCGTATAACGCAATGAAGTCGATGGATCAGACGGCGATGACGATAGCGATTGTGCTCGCACAGAAAGCAAAGAAAGTCGACGATTTGGCAGCCTGAGATTGAAAGGTTGTGGTCGGCAAAGTTTAACGTCACTTGGCCGTGCGTGAACGAGACCATGTTTGGCCGCCGGACACGGCGGCGATAGTTCCAAAGCTCGGAACATTGCTTCTACCGTTCTAGTGCTGCAAAGCGATCTCCGATCACGGAAATTGGGGCATAGCCGAGAGGATGTGAAGAATTTGGGCCTGCTAAGAGACCGGCTTCTTGTAGCCCTAAAGGCCCAGAGCCGAAATATCTACAAATAAAAGCTAATTTTAGTCCATAAATGCTTTTTTTTTTTCCAAT